GGTGGGTTGAAACTCGCGACGAACCCTAATCGGGTGCGCTCGGGCGTGTAGTTTTTGTCAGTGGGGAGGCCTCACGGTCCTCCCTTTCAATTGTAAAATAGTACAACTCACTAAACTCATCATCCATCGCATTACCAACCCAATGTCGTCACACACTCCTGCCTTCTACTACACACACACACTCCAATTACTTACTCAGCTCAAACACAGCGATACACTATACAAATGATAATGTCATGTCGTAAAATGAAATATTTTTACTACATATGTGGAAATGATTGGGACATGTGTTAGTAATTCATTACAGCCGAGTCAGTCGTCGGGCTGTCATTTGCGATATATGAATTGCTTGAACTTATGCTGTGGTCAGTTGTCTTTTAAGATTCCAGCACTCCATGAAGTCACTAACCTGTGGACTGAGTCATTTCGTTAGTTTTCTGCTACCTGGTTGGGATCCTCGAGGTGATATTAATCGATGGTTGGAGACCTTGTGTGACTTGGCTCAAAATCGTTTGCAATGGCGCAGCTGCATTTACTCTTAATGTTCTCTCCCATTCTACCCTTCTGAATTCCTCATCACTTCTATCTCTCTTTTCCCAGATTTACCTGACCTTACTATACTTCTTGAATAACTTTTACTACCTCCAGTTATATGTGATTTGAATTGAAAATTATATCTCCGTGGTATTGTGGTATGGCAACTTGAACTGATGTACTTACGTATGAGGTTCTACGTTGCATGACTGACTGACTGAAATTAAGAGATCTTCGGCTATTGGGTATTTATTACATTCGTTGGAATCCTTTTAAGCTGTCAGTATTAATTGTCATTGCGTTAAATGTTCGCTTACTATGTAGCGTTGCTTTTAATATGAAAAGTACCTGTCATGAAATGAGAAATATAGTCTAGATGAATGGATTCTCGTAGTGAGTTACGGTCAGATTTGGTATGCAAAGCATACGTTAGAGACTTATAGTTTATTTCAGATTTGAAATGTCGTTCCAAGGAAGCTAGTTAGCCATCATTGATGTGTCGTCAATCCGTTAACAGCTATGAGCTAATGGAATGGTACTTGGTATTCACATCGGCAAAGTAAATTTTCCATATTTAGATTTCTCAACTCGATAGATTTAGTCAGTTTTGGTTTTGTTTTACCAACTATTATTGAGAGATATGTATTCTTTTGCTATTGGTAGACTCAATTTGGCTCTTGATTCAAGATAATTTGTTCATTCTCTATAGATATGAAATATGTAATCATACGTTTTTTGCTAAAAATGAGATATAATTGTCTTATGGGGGAAGAAAAACAAATCATTAGCTTACTGACGGTTTAACACATAATTTCCTTTCCATTATTGACGAAAACTCTGAGATTGCTGACTGCGAGCTGCTAGTAATTGAGTTAAATGTTTTCTGACCTATACTCTGGTTCAATGTTACCGGTCATGATTCATATATCTGTTATGACATATCCATTTTAGAGGTAGTATCAAGTTCAGCTTCGTAACTTAGTATAGTAGTATATCATAAAAGCGGTGAAGTTTTTTAATATCCATTACATAATCAAACGAATTCACACAGTACAGTGTTAAGGTCACGTGAGAATCATCACGGCTCCGCTCACTGAAGAGCAAATACTGAGGTTTGTGCATACTTTTTCTCAATAAGAGTAGTTGCAACTTGGAATGCTTTCCCACCCGCATTGACCACATCCTCCTCAGTGGACAGTTCTATAATAAGTTTCAATAAATATATTTCCTCGCGGGATTACTAATGTGAATCCCAATAATCCAGAAGTCAAAGAAAAGACTATTCTGGATGCAGAAGCATATTTATTGCTAGCCTACTGATATCGAAATAATAGTGAAACTAGGGTACATGAGCGGCTAACAACAAACGAGGAGAAGAGTGGAGTGGAAAAGACAGGCTTGGCGCGCGGGAGATAGTCTCTAGTAAGGATAAACAAAAGGTGTACAATATAACAGTTATTGTCGGAAATAAGTACAATAATAAACGTTTATATTTCGGCAATTGTGTTATTTTCGTAAACGTATACCACTACATTAGCCCCCTCCTAGAAAGAGCTTACACTTTCGATACGTAGCGGTTTCGTGCAGAGGGGGGGCTGGTCAGCTAAAGGGCGTTAGTAGGGTGGAAGGGTTGACGGACAGAAGGAGGCCAATAAAGCTCGAGTTGTCATTGAAAGTCTTTTACGTCGAACTGTACCAATAGTAGCTTTCCAAGTTTAGTGCTTGGGTTGGCATGCCACACCAGCGTGGCTCGTATCCAGAGTCTGAAGACTGCGTTCGTAGGAGTTCGTACCAGAAAAAGTTGCAAACGTAGGAAGGAACCAGATTGAGTGACGGAGCCATAAACGATCAGGTTCGAAACCATACATATGCCAGATATATTCATAACCAGAACATTGACTGAGTACATTGAAGAGAGCATGGATGATCAGGCCAGCTTTCATCGAGATTGACTGAAGTCGACGGTACTAACAGGGCGATGGTCGTAGACATGGGCTCAGGATACAAAATGAACGAAGATAAAAGTGTAGCATACATGTAGTACGAGGATTCTGTACTGTAATGTATGTTGCCTGGGTGATTATTCGGCAAAACGTGCAGGTAGGCGTACGCGGCGACCAGAACGCGAGACAGTGGTCTCGTGAGCCAGCAATCTCAACCGAAGCCAAGGGTAGCATGGTCTGCTGATCTGGACGTGAGACCGGAGTCCTATTCGTAGACAGTGCAGAAGGTGCGTGCTGTTGACCGGGACTTGAGAATGAGGTCTCTGATGTATCTGGGGTCCGGAGTAGATGTAGGGTTCCTGTTAGTAGGTTTTATGAGTCTAGCATTGGGTCTCACAATTATCATGTAGGGCACTGTCTTCAACTTGTGCTGGCTTGAGACGATCAATGCTGACGATCTGGACGCGGGCATGTCAAGCAATCTTGAAGGTCTTTTCATGACTAGAAATAACTTGAAAAGGTCCTTCGTAAGGCTGTTGCAGAGGTTTGCGTACTGAATCGACTCGTATGAAAACATTCGAACAGGTAGATAACTCTCGAGGGAGAGCGACCTGTCAATGTTGTACTGGAGTTGACACCGGAGGCAGTGCTTGAATAAATTCAGACAATCGTTGGACGTAGTCTGATTTAGTGAAGTAATCACTACTCCGTAGTGTGAAAAATTCCCCAATCAGATGCAGTGTCGTGCCGTATACCGATTCAGCGGCGGAACATCGAACAGCTGCCTTTAAACTGGTTCTGATACCCAGGAGGACGAGCGGTAAGGTTTCGTGCCAATTGCTGTTTTCGTTTGCTCAAGCAGTACTTTTAAATTGGCGACGAAACCGTTCGACTAGGTGGTAGGCGGTAGTGCGTACGCGCTCCGTACCAAGCAGCCAGGTTAGCGAGGAGATTCATTTGGACTCGAACTGTTGTCTTCGGTCAGTCGTGACAGTCGAGGTACAACCGTAATGCGCTATTCATCGTTCTACGAAACGGTGAGCAACTGTCTCCGCCGTAATAGAAGTGATGGGAATAGCTATTTTGTGAAACGATCGATGCACGTGAGTATGTGATCATACCCATGCGATGGTACTTATGGTCCTGCAATGTCAATATGAACATGATCGAAGAGAGCATCAGGCGTAGCAAATATGCCAATGGGGGCTGCTACGTGCCTGTGCACTTTTGATCGTTGTCACTGTAAGAACTGCTTTATCCACATATGGACATACTTATTCATTGACGGCCAGATGTATCGTGAAGCCATCAGACCTAAAGTGGCTGCAATAGCTGGATGAGACAATCCATAAAGGACATCGAGGACGAGACGACGATGAGCAGAAGGTACAATGGTTCGGGATAAACCAGTAGAGTTGTCACACGGGATAGTACATAAGGTGGCAGCTAGTGGTGCTTCTTGACACTGAAGGGTTGTAGATTGTTGTGTTTCTGTACAATAGGGATCATCTGCATGGGCGGTGGCCATAGCAGGAAAATAAAGCACCGTTAAAGGGACTGTATTCACTTGAATACGTGACAAAGAATCCGCAACATAGTTCGACTCGCCTTTAATTTGGTCTGTCGTCAACTGAGAGATGTAGTCCAAATGTCTGCACTCTCGTGGTGAGTAGCGGTTAGACTTGGTATTCAAAGCATTGTCAGAATTAGATACAATAATAAAAGTTTATATTTCAGAATTTGTGTTATCTTCGCAAAAGTATACCACTTCAGCTCTAAGAGGAGACTTGATAAATGCGTATTCACATACGGCTTATCATTTCCCTCTTGGATCAGCTGTGCCTGCTGAATGTTTGGTGACCTACTCGTTGTTAATAACGTCATTTCCTCAGATCACTAACTTATTCTATCTCGCTTTTTATCTCTGTTCCCTCTCCCTAGCTTATATTTCAGTCCTCTCACGGAATCCTCACTTCCAATTTATAAACTAAATTATCCATCTATTTACTTAATTCTGAAATCTTATTAGCATTAGAACTTTCTCCTTATTATTCTACACACTATAACTAACTGATCTTCGGCCTCGTAACGTGATAGCTGCTGGTATCCCGAAACTCTAATGCCCTGAAACGAAAGTATTCATTTAAATCATGGGACATACATATTCACAAACAATTGATAACTGACTAGAATTAGTGCAGTCGAGTGGCTAGACTCCGACCTATTGGACACTACCAAATACCTGGAACCGTACCGAACAACCAAGAATCGAGCTCAGATAAATCAAATGGTTTATACTAGCTCGTGAAAAAGATACTGGATTTGTCAACTTTCGTATCACTAGGTGACTTAATAAAACTTTCATATCTGCTTACTTGTCTAGGTCTGTACCTAAGGGATCCAATTTTCCATTAATTTCAGAGAAGGGTGGTTAAACAAAAGTTTCCAATAATCTGTTCACAACTAATTTGTGCCACCTAGTTTCATTGTACAATGATCAATCGGTTAAAGGCATCATTTGTTTTTATAGGTAGCTTCGGTACTGTTTGTGGGACAAGCTACAATCGCCCGGTTCTGATCATCGTTTTATACAATGATTGGGATAGAAGTAAAGGGACGTTTGAATCAGTACGTAAAAGTAAGTGGGGTTTTGTGTATCTGAAGCATTCCTAGGCTATTCTACGTAACGTAGTTGACGAAAATGTAATTGTCTTCTACCCGGAAAAGTAGGTTCAAGTCATTCGTTTCCCATTCATCTCTCGTTTAGGAATGAGGAAGAACAAGTTCCGATCAAAAATGTGCGACTACCCCCAAGTCCTGGAAGGTTAGTCTTTAAGCAATATTGGTGGCCATAATAAGTGATCGTCTATCCTACAAGATAGATGGTCACTCAAACATGTTATCTGGCACAATTAGCAAAATTTATATTCTCATTACGAAGTCGTAGCCACCACTAACTGAAGCTACTGACAAGTATTAAAGTTCATAACCTTAGTGTTTATTTTTTGGAACTTAACTAACCAGTTCTTACCTCAAGGTAAAGTATCTCGCTGCGTCACTGTGTTATGTGAACATCCAAGTCCAGTCTGTTCAGGTCATTTTTTGCTTAATTTAGTGATTTACTAAGGCTCAATAGTTCCTGGCTTTTGATTTTTATTACTTGAGTCTAAATTCACAAAAGGGCCTCGTGGCACTGAAGCACCATAGATTCATCAAGACTACTGCCAACTACGGCAGGTTGTATATATAATCCTAAGGTTGAAACCAACTATAAGTCGACGAAGTTATTTTGTCTTGAAGGAAATGAACTTGGGTAAGGTTTTGACCGAAGTGATTAGTTATTTGAACTAACATTAGTTATTGTCAATCACACGTGTGAGTGATTCCCCATAAATGAGACAGAAATATTCCAGTCACGTAGACCAAAAAAACCTCTTAGGTACTGTCGATAGGTAGGTTTTCACTTTTGTGGGAGTATGAGCTTGTTTTAGCGTACATGTCAAAAAGTATCATAATTAACCACTTTGTAGCACTGGTTTCCCACTAACTGTTTTGGTCGTTTAGTGCTAAAACTGAGCTCTGAGTAAATTTCATTCATGCTTCCCCTGCTTTTTAAGGGTGGAACTATATAATCTGCACACCTGGCCATTCGTATCTCTGAAAACTAAGCATCTCGAGTTGCCCACTAATTAGTTGTTTCTTACATTCCCCAATCGACATTTGTTCACATTTAGCTTAGTTTTGTATTTGATAACTAGAAAGCCGGTAATAATTTTCAGGTAACGTATTGTCGGAATTTGTTGTAGCCTTATTAAACAAGTATCTAGAAGTTACATTCTAAATAATGTTTGGTATATGTGTATTGTGCTCAAGTTCATTTTATATCTCAATATCATTGTTAGTATTTAGTTGTCTGCTTTTCGAGATAACTGCCTTAACGGTTGATCCAAGAAGTCCTACACAGCCTCAAACGAACACAAAATAAAGTAGTTCGTATCCGAAGATTTTTCAAAAGTCTAATTCGTTTTCTTGTCGTCTTTATAGGGATGTTCAACCTGGACAAAATGCCGAGGCCCTTTTTTCTGTCGCGACTGATCAGACTCCAAGCTTATCTAGTAATACAATCACACTGTCTGGCCGTTGGGGAGATGAATCTAATAACAAACCGGAAGTTGAACTTATACTGGATGATCACTTGAGTTACCTTCCTATTCCATCTTGGTGGCCTTGTCGCGTTGTCAAGATTCGAGATGATGTCGCAATAGTGAAGTTAAATGTAACGCCGCCAACCGATGCAACACCCTCAGAGATTTCACTTTGTACACAGCTTTCGAATGTTACTGAAATTGTAAGTCGTAAGTCCCTACGTCAGCCCAGTGATGATTGTCCATGTCTGTCACCTGATATCATCCATCGACATCGTATTGAAATTCCAAAAGAATTGGCAGACTTGTAAGTCTCTGTTTTAGACCACAAACAATACAGTTTTGCTGTTTTTCTGTTATGTTTTTGCAGTTTATTGATGCATTCGTCTTTATGAGAATGTTAAACCTCTCTGCACCATTTTTCCAACACGAACAAACAGATCAAGTCATCGTAATTTTCTTAAATATAGCTGCACTCAACCTGGTTGTCACTCTAGTTTGTTTTCTCTAAGAATTCCGATTCATAACAACTTTTGATCTCTAAAATATATTCACTAAAACTTCGACATTGAATCTCCGAACTGAGGAAACTTATATTTCATCAAGATTGTAAACATTTAGTACAAGTTTACCAGCCCTACTCACAAAATATCGTGCTGTAGTGGGAAGGAGCTTGATTGTATTAACTCGATAGCCCTGTTTTTTGAAGCTCTCAACTACTTAATAATCTCTTAAAAATGAAATGTCTAACCAGAATAATATTTGCTACTTCGCATTGTTTATTGATATGATATCCTTGAATTATCTTACTACTGAGACTATAATAGCTGACGATGTGTCATTCTGTATGACACTATCAGTCTAGTGTATGATTTTCTTGCATTTAGTAACATGCTCTCTATGTAGAGGGTCTTGTTTCTGAGTAAATCATCAATTAAATCATGGTAACATTAATACTCTGTATGATCGCTATCGCTATCTTGAGTTTCAAATCTTCGATCCCTTGGGATTAGATTAGATAATCAACTTCATTCAAAGGACTTATCTCTTGATAATTAGCAAAACGTAAGTAGATAACATGAGTGGTGGTTGTATCATTTCTACCTCTATTTTTTCAAGTTATCTATGCTGTTTGTCCTCAAGTCCATCAATTTTTAGCTCAAAGTTTATTACTAATTTTCTATTTTCAGTGCTTCTGATCCTTCTGTCCACAATGACTTCTTGCGCCATTGTGGTGGTCCCGTAAGCCTATACTACGACAATGAGTCTTCCTGTTTGGTTGTGTTAACTACAGACCCTGTAACAGCAAAAAATGTTGCCCTGTTAGAAGATACTCATTTGAGAATGTTGCGCCAAAAATGGGCCTTAACTCGAAGTCTTCGACAAACTATTCGAAATCTCGAAGTAAGTGTTTATTCACCTCTAATATTCCATAGGGTTCATTTTTCCGTTTTTCAACTTACTAGATTTTACTTCTCAATATTTCCTAATCTCATGAATTTAATTATAATAATAAAAGCCTTAATAATAGCGTGAAATTCTTCATGATGTATTTAATAGGGGCATTTCAATTTGATTCATAGAGATGTCACTAAGTGTCAATGCATTTGATATGTCAGCACCTAATACAGTAGTTTTCAAGTAAAACAATACTCACCGACGTTAGTTTATTGGTTTTTTTTCTGGATTTGCTTTTATAGATCAGGTTATTGTTGTGTGTTAGGCTTTTAGTGTGCAAGTCTTCTCCGTCATCACCTAGACATGATCAACTTGTCTACCAAGTATACTGGAAACCTCCACGGCAGACCATGATTTCAGCTAGATTTTTATGCACTACTTTAGTTGATTGTTCTCCTATTTTCACTTGACTGAGTACAAAATGATTGCTTGAGTTGCGATATGCCTCAAGACATGAAAGCAGCATACAGTCTCAAAGTGATTTCATTTCTAATATTATGTTGTTAGTTACTTCTAGTTACTTAAATTTCATCCATTCAATGGTATATCCACTGACCAAATAATATTTATGCAGTTAGATAGTGCTATTAATTATGAAGCAAGTGCAACTCAAAGTATAGTTCGATCAAATAAAAATCACCGATCATTAGTCCGAGTGTGTTCAGGATTACTTCCCTTTTAAAAAAAGTACCTGACAGCATTCTGGTCACTCATGTTTATGGAGAGGACCGTGTTTTTGGGTAGTCGAATTAGTCTAAAATGGGTTGCTGTTAGCAAGCTCGTCAGATGGTCATCCATCTCGTTGGGTACTTAGTGGACAGGTGGTTGGGTCATGTATTACGAATGCCCAACCACCTACTGCCTTGGCGAACGATTATGTCTAATGTAGGGGTAGACTAGAAGAAAGCTAGGGGTGATCAGACCAAAACACGTCACAAGTCCCTAAAGTCACTGACAAGTGAAGTGATCCATGTGTGGTAGGTGTAAACTACCTGGTTGGAGTTTGCGGGATGATTGTTAGAGGCCTTAAATGGCACGGTCCAAAATCGTTTTCTATGGCAAAGGTGCGTCCACTCTTTGTTTTCTTTCAAATTCTAGCCTTCTGAATTCCTCATCACCATTGTCTTCTTTTTTTTAATTTATTTCACTGGATTATAAGTCTTGAATAATTTCTTCGAACCCTAATCTTCAATACCGCTAATACTTCAACTACATATACCACTATGGGATTTGAATTGACACTTTGATCTCTCTGTGCTAATATGGTAAAGCAACTTGAGCTGATGTACGTACGTAAAAAGTTCTACATTGTAGTTGACTGACTGATTGAAGTGAAGAGATCTCCAGTTATTAGAATCCTTCTAAGCTGTCAGTATTAATTGTTATTGCGTTGAATCCTCGCTTACCATATTGTCATTAATAACAAAAATAAGGTATACTATCCCCGTGACAATGCTTAAAATTACAGCATAGGAATTTGAGAACTTGTCTAGTTGTTTTGTATCAAACCTATTGCCCTTGGCATTTTTTTCCCATATCTGAGGGAAGATACGTCGATGCAGCAAATAGCTATAAAGGATGGTATGCAGATATGAGTTGATGCATTTTTGTTCAGAGTTATCATTCACTGTTTCGTGAAAAAATTTGTGTTCGCTTAGTAAATTATTGCTTACTTACTTATTTACGCCTGTTACTCCTAATGGAGCATAGGCCGCCCACCAGTTTTCTCCGATTGTTGATTAATTGATATTAAATATTACTCATTCAAATAATACGCATCTGACTGTTAATCTGATTGTACAAAAATCATGTAAAACGGTAAAATGTATTCGTATACCATTGTCATATATTTCGGGTATTGCGTGTCCTAGGCAAGTTTATTGAGTTAATTTAATTATTTTAAAAAAGTCAGTGAGGTTTTGTTTAAACGAGTATATTATTTTTATAATTTTACCGTAAACCTCTTTTCTCAGGTCAATCGAGGGCCAGATGTATCACGACCAGGTGGAACAAAGAACTGCAGTGACTGGAACAGTGATCCTAGTCTATTTGTTGAGAAGTTTTATGTTCCTCAACACCTCATGGGTTTGGCTATTGGTGCCCGTGGTGTAAATATTCGTTCTGCAAGAGAAATACCTGATGTAGTCCGCATCGAGTCATGGGAACCGTCCGAATATGGTGCAAGAGATAATGACCCTGTGGATAATTCTGGAGATAATGGTGATGCTGCAATGTTTATTATAGAAGCCAAGGTATAATGCTTTTATCAAATTAGTAATCTGTCATTTTATGTAAACGAGAGATGAATGTTCTTATGGCAAATGTCGTGTACTGTACTTGGTAGCTCATCATACCTAACCATATGAAGCAGTTAAACTCGCATTTCTAAGTCTTCTATCATTTCAGTGCATGTACCCGTGACCTTGTGTATTTGATCTAAGTTATTTCAGTATTCCTTTTAATTTTTGACATTTCACACAGAATAACTCTGACATATTTGAAATCATCAATCATTGTTAGACCACCAGCAGAAAACTGGAAGCACCAGACGGCCGTTTCGTCCTGGTATGGGACTCATCATCAGTGCGCATCCACGACTCCTGCACCTCTCAGGGTTCGAACCCGGGACCTGCGGTATTGTGCGCGAACGCCTAACCATTGAACCACTGGGCTGACTTATGAGAAAAGTCAGTAGAAGAGGCCATCTTAAGAATGGGATTTATACATTATAGGACATTCGTAGATCGCTTTTCTTCGATCATGGGTGTCTCCGAAGCATTGCTCGTATATCTTGGGACAACCGAGTGAGCAATGCTGTCGTTAGGAAACGAGTACTAGGTAGGGATGGTAGATCAATAGATGAAGTATTAAAACTCCATCAATTGAGGTGGCTAAGACATGTGTTACGAATACCCAACCATCGACTGCCTAGACGAGCAATGTTTTGTGGTGTAGAAGTAGGTTGGAAAAAAGGAAGTAGCGGCCAAATCAAAACATGGCAGAAATCCATGAAGTCACTGACAAGTGGACTGACTCATGTTGTTAGATGTAGGCTACCTGGTTGGGGTCCGCGAGCCGAAAGTCACCAATGGTTAGAGACCTTGAACGACATGGCTCATTCTTGGATTTGAACTGACAATTGCGTCTCTGTGCTGATGCGGTATGACAACCTGAACTGACATAATTACGTACGAAGTTCTGCGTCTTATCTGTCTGTCTGTCTGTTTTTTTTCGAAAGTCCCTTGTAAACATCATTCTCCTTGAATCATATTGTTTATACCTGTTTTTTTTTACCACCGATATTATTGCTACTACTTTCTAATTTCTGTTTTGATCATTTCATCTCATGTCGTCATTATCTTAATGTTAACATTCAACTGAGTCCACATTATGAGAGCTACTAGAGCTACCAGACGGATGATGTCAATGAAATAGAATTCCTCTGTACTGCCTATGGGTTAAAAGTTGATAGTTGTATCCACTGAACTTAATTGCACGTGAATTTCAGTATCTGCTTGGCTAAATGTTAGGATATTCACCAAATATCCTAAGAGTACTATTTTTGGAAGTATAATCCTATTGGTCGATTTCTATTGGTCAAAATTATGGTCGTTTTAACTGTCAAAGTCAAATACTTCAATGTTGTCTCTGATTGGTCATCCGGACTGTCAGTGTCATTTCAAGTGTTCTTTCTGACTGGTCGTCCTAAACTTTGATGTGTGTGGTATGGCAACCTGAACTTATGTACTCATGTACGAAGTTTTACGTTGTAACTGACTGACTTCCCTATAATTAGGGGGTATGTATAATAGGTTAACTGTATGTTGTTTCTTGTTTCTTCTAACTCATTAGATATGCAATAATGAGAGTGTATTGTAATAGGTTAAAAAACATATTTCACATTTTACACGAAGTTCCAAAGTTGAATGTCGTCGAACAGGAGGCAAAATTATCTTCACTTTCTATCCTCGAGGGTCGAACAAATGTACTTTTGTTACCAGATTGAGTGTATTTTAGATGTACTTATCAAAAATAGCTATCATCTCAATTATTATTTTTACACCAGCCTTTATTTGTAATGATTTTTTTCGTCAGATAGTTGGCTAGCGATCATGCACGTTTATCATGTAAATATTAACTCTTGGTATTTTTTCCACCGGTAATACGTTAGTTGTTCCTTTTTTGTATATTTGAAAAATGATGAAAAGATTTTGCTTATTTGGTTGATTAAATTTATAGAGTAAAATGACAGTTGGCGATTAATTTAACTGGTTGACATTTGTCATTGGAAGCGAGCTCTACACTAATTAAAGTTTTATTATTATTACTTGTTTTGAAATTCTAGACTCCGGAAGCTGCAAAACAAGCTCGAGCTAAACTAGAATATTCCGAATTGTATTTAGGTGTACCACGTCGTTATGTAGGACGTTTGATTGGAAAGAGAACTTCGAATATTATGTCGATTATTCGTAAATCCGGTGTTGTTCACATACATTTCGATGATCATATTGAAGGTCCTGTATCGTTAAGCGATGATAATAATAATCAGTCGGATATGATTAAGTATTCGCATCCAGGACGTCCATTAGCCAGTACAATGCGGCGAGTGTTTTTAAAGGTAATCATTCATCATGCATATCTTTTATTTTTGTTCGCTTTATATTTTATATGTATATGATCACAGTACGTTTGTGTTTGATAGATTAAATGTTCTTTAGTTTACTGTACAGTTATTTTTTATGCATTAAGCGATTCAACATGTATCGATACTTTTTTCATTGATCATCTATTCGGTTAAGTTTTGAAGGAACTAAAATGCTGATCTACACCGTTCATCAAACTGAATCATTATTAGTAATGGTGTTTTTAGTATGATCTCCTGTGCATCAAGTTTATATGACTAGTATTATTCTAGAAATTGGGAATAATGCCACACTTGTGAATGTATCAAAAAGCCGTTATGCCGGGTGAATACCTTCAGCTGCATAAATATCAGTAGAGATGGGTACCTAAATGTTTATACGCCACGCCGCCTATTGAATTTGCTTGTGGGCTAGTATACTGCTTGAGTGCTGAGACTGAAGTAGGTGGTTTCCTCAAGTGGTAGTGGAGTAACTTCACGACGTGTAGTTACGTCTTGACCACTGAGCCAATAATAAGTTCTTGTTCCATTTTTTCCCTCACTATCATGGAGCTCGTGCTCATCGTTGGTTTAGAATCAAGGTTTCCCAACTCCCCTGTGAGTCCCCTGTACCCGCAAAACCGGTAGAGCGTCGGAAACTGACTTCTCGTCCTCTCAATTTGGTGAAAAACATCTGTGTCACAGAGCAGTGAGTAGGACTTCTCTGTTAGTGGCTACACACGCGTCAGTCAGTCAGCTACAACGTAGAACTTCGTACGTACGTAGATCAGTCCAAATCACCATACTACGTTAGCACACAGGTACCTAATTGTCAATTCAAATCCTGTAGTAGTAGAGATATTAGAAGTATTAGAGATCGAATATATCATTCGAGAAGTATATCCCAGTAAAATAAATTCAAAAAACGGAAAGAAACTGTTATAAGGAATTCACACACGCGGTGCCATGTATTGGAGAGAGGACTCTTCCCACTCGGCTGTTCCAGGGGATTCGGAAACACTGTCAAAGCAATGATTTATTGTAGGCCTGACATAAATTCCTGGATGGTACATCCATTTTTCATCAAAACAACTGAATACATGAACTTTTACCCTGGTATATTACTGAGTTAAATTCACTGTGAATTAATAATAAGTTCTAAATAACTACCATTCTTCATAAAGTATAAAAACTGTCACACTTAAACTGATAGCTTCAATGATTTCTTTTTTTATTGATTATTTTTCTTTTTATAAAAATATGTGATAAGGAGGTAATGTTGTTTTTCCTGATCACCTGCAAAATAATAACGCGGTGAAATGCTACTCACAAGGTAGTATATAAGTAGTATGAATTCGTCTTTTCCTAACAACAAGAATGCTTATTAAAAAGTAGACTAAAGTTTAGAGTTCAACTACCAACATGTTATCATCATTTTTTTACAAGGTGGGTCACGGATTTCCGAAATGTTCCAATTTACATACCCAGTGAAATATTGAGAGTTAACAAAATATCATTTCTATGCTTCCAGAAAAGCACTTCTAAGTTATTAACTATACAAAATTCATTATAGGATATGTATTCAACTTTTAACAGTGATAATATGGTGTGGATGTTCGTCATCATTATGTGGAAAAACCTAGGAAATATCTGTTGAAATTTTATCAGATTCTCTCGATACATGGTATTTTTCTCAAATAAAAATATATTTATTGGGGTATTCATCCAAAAGAGCAGACGCTGATAAGAGCAAGCGTGAGACGGATCACTTTTTGTGGAGGCTGAGCGAAACTGTGACTATCAAACATTCCTTTTAAAAGAATGTATCCTAGCTGTTCGAAATAGACACTAGCGGTAACATGATTGGGGTATTAACAGTAACGATCCGTTACCAAGTTCCTAAAATTACCATATTTATTAAACTGACTTACTCCTGTTACCCTTAATGGAGCGTTTTTTAGCGAGTTGGATTTCTATGGAATGGGGTTGCTAACCCCAAACTCAACCCTCCTCCTTTACCCCTGTCTTGGGACAGGTAATAACCGTAGAAGGGCTCCAGGTGGAGTTATTATTTGTTGGAAGTAGACTCTTTTAGAAAAATACACCTTTGATTGGTCGTATTAAGGCAAAGGGACAGAGGGTGGTAGGTTGAACATATTTCACACCACTAAAAACGATATTCTTCTTCTTCTTCTCCTCAATAATCACCCTTATTAGTATGAACCATCATATCATTGCGCAGTTATATAATTTTATCTCCTAGATCTAACTAACTTCCTTAGCGACTTTGTTTTGATTGTAGGTTCATTCACGCAGATGCTTGTAGAAAAATTATTTTGTTTAATAATGAGTTTGATTGAATTTTTTTTAATTTTGAAAATCAATAAATATTTATTTTGTGCAGTGTAGTGGTGTGTGTCGTCGTTGTTTTTGTAACATTGAAATGAGGAAGATTTATAAATTTTCGAGCATACAAAGTAAAATCATTGAACAAACACCTTCGCGATTGTCATTCTTGCCTCATTTCTGCTGCATAGAACTAGATTTATTCATATATTGTCTAGTTAGACTGACTGTTCTATTTTCATCTTGGTTATTACTATTATTAATATTGTTATTATGTATAAAGAATTGAAGGGCTGGTCGATGATGATTATTTCAGAAATATTATTTTTTAAAAATATTAGAACATGTGATCATATAAATAAATAAGTTAACTTGTTATTCATATCATAGTAAATATTATTAATTTGTTTAACGTTCAACTCGATTCTTTTCATTTGGTGTTGTTGATTAGAAATGATCTTGTTTGTTTAATCTTAAAGTTCACAAATATAAATATATTTATTTATTTTAATTTTCTGTCAGAGGTCATGTTTTTGCTAATCTGTTTTTTTTAAAGTAATTTTAATTAATCTTGTTAAAAAAAATTTTTCATAGGCTGGAAGTGCTCAAACATCTTCACAACCACATACAGATGAAGAATATGGTGGATTTATACTAGCTGGTACAAGAGATTCCATTGAAAAAGCACGTTTGTTAATCAATTTCCAAATGGATTATTTCTATGATCTTGAAAAAATGGAGGTAGGCTATCAATGATGAAGTTTTGTGTGGTGTGTTGTTTCTCGTTTGTATGAATTTTTCAGATACAAAGTTGAGAATAATCATAAAAGAGCATTATCTCGAACTGTCTTATTTAGGTTCAACACAGGCAAATAATCTCGACTGGTCTGTAGGATTCTAGTTGTCGTTCCTTAAATGCACTCGCCGCTGAAGAACGCCTTTGAGGGTCCTCGAAAGGAGTAATCCTGTTTATCTGGTAGGCGTGATTACTGAGCCGAACTGCTGAAGCCCAGTTATACCCAAACTTTTGCTAGTAGTTTCATATACGTTAACTTCGTGCTTTGTAGACCTTTCCTCCAGCAATGCAATCCATGGGACTGTTTTTGGGACTGAATTTTTATAACTCTCTTCTGTAATGAGTTGGCAATATTATTGCGGACTGGTTGTTTTTAAGGAGGCACATAGCTTTCTGCAATTACTCATAAGACCTCAACCGCAGATCTTGACTAACTACTACTTCCATCTAATCCACTTGACGTGATGGGGCACCAAAGAAAAAATATAACTCGACTGAGTCATTGCAATATCTAAGCGTAACTATCACGTCCTTGTAGTAGCTACGTTTGGGAAGACAGGATCTGTAAACAAGGAATGATATAGGGTTTAAAATGTAACAGGTTTCTACAGGATGAGTCTGAGTTATGAATTGCTTGCGAACACCACCCAAAATGTCCAGCTCGTAGTTATCAATATGTCTCTGGCCCATATCCTTTCAGGACTTAAACAAACAATCATTATTCACATAGGTTTAATCATGAGAGACTAATTAAAACACTCACAAATATAAACTTAAAATTCTGTGACCGATGGTAGGCTTCAGCTGCAGACACGATTGTTAGTTCTTTTATCAGGGCTTCTAATTCAATTCTCACCTACTTGTACATAGATCGATCGTAGAGAGTAGCATGACCAAAAGCAGCAAATTCGGGGTCATGTGACGAATCAGTACTGCTGATGAGTGTGCTAGGTTGTTTGGAAGTATGGATTTTCTATACACGTGATTAGAATTTCCAGCAATGTTTTCTTTACAGCCATAAGATAACTAGAGACAAACAGGATAAAATCTTTACAGATATTTGGCTTATGATCTCTTAAAACTATCTTGTTTAATTATCGGACAATCTTAAGATATGATTAACTTAAGAAATAACGTAGTTGTCAAACGTCATTGCGTTCGCGCGCAAGACCGAAGGTCATGGGAATGTGAATCCTGGGGGTAGTGGGAGTCGTAGATGCGCACTGCTGACGAAAACGGCTCTCCAGTGCTTCCAGGTTTTTTCTAATGGTGGTCTAACATTGATCGGTTCATGACTTCAAATAGTTAAAAGAAGTCAATGTGATTATGAAATTGTAAGGTTTCTTGATTGAAGTTAGTAAAAAAAATTACTTAGTTAAAAATTTGTATGAAATAATGTACTCCTAAGTACAGTTTTTCGTTAATGAATGTTTGTTTTTCTCATTTTATCGTGTAATTAATCAGAGCGAAAAGCTTGAACTAATGCGTAGTCTATCTCTTGGTGGAGTGGACTCCGGTGCAGGCTATCCACCACGTGGTGCAGCAGTCGGACGTTGGGGTGATCGTGCTGGTGCTGGCAATTATGGTCGTAGTAGTCGTGGACGAAGACCAGGTCGCGGTGGTCTGTTACATCCTCCTTTTGGTGCAAATGATGGTCCTAATCATCCACAACACTATACAGATGATGAAAATATTGGTAATCCAATTCCTTATCGAGGCTCAAGACGAATGGTATGCAGTTAATTAATCTGTTCAGTGGTGTTTTTTTTAATTATCGTTTTATCTGTGATATTATAATACGTAATTAATTATAACAATAGTAGTAAGCAGAAATTTAAATCTTGATTCAGTAAGTCAGTTACAACATAGGACTTCGTATGTGCGTACATCAGTTCAAGTTGCCATACCACATTAGCACAGAGGTGCAATTGTCAGTTCAAAATCCGCTAGTGATAGAGATAGTAAAAGTATTAGCGATATTGGAGAAGATTAGGGTTCGAAGATATTATTCAAGAAGTATTATCCAGAGAATGTTTTTTGATATTTTGTAATGAACTAGGTTACAAGAAAGCTAGTAGTAGTCAGACCAAAACATGGCAGAAATACATGAAGTCACTGACAAGTGGACTGAGCCATGTTGGCCAGTCAGTCAGTTGCAACGTAGAACTTCGTACGTACATACATACGTTCAGGTTGCTATACCTTATTAGCCATGTTGGTAGATTTAGAATACCTGGTTAGGGTTCGCGGGATGATAGTAACCGATGGTTAGAGACCTTAAATGACATGCCTGAAGTTCGTTTGCAATGGTGCAGGTGTATCCATTCTTTGTGTTCTCCCAAATTCTAATCTGAACTGCTCATAATCTTTATCTTTCTCGCCTCAAATATATTTCACTGAATTATACTTCTTAAGTAATATCCTTTTATGAGAAGTTTTTAGAGTACTACCTTCGCTCTTAAAAGCCCTTAGTGGGCACCCTTGCCACCGGAGACGGAAATCCGTGAGGTAGGTTGAGGTGTGACATTTTTAGGGTCGACCTTTTCTAACCTCTCCTTTCTTGTGAGAAGGCAGCATCGCTGCAGATGCTGGTTGCCCGAGGTAAACACCTTACTGCTGTCACACCCCTTCTGCAGTCAGTAGTACGACTTTGCCCTCAGACTTTGAGTAGCTGCTTTTAGTCTCATCGCTCTCCAATCGATCTGCCTGACATGGTAGAACCTTCAGGAACATATGCTATAGCCAATATAGCTCGGTTGGGTCATCACGATAGGCAAGCCTGACCACCACGTCAAGGTAGCAGCTACGGTCGGGATTAGCAGTAATGTAGAAGATTAGGGTCCGAAGATATGACACCAGAAGTAAAATTCGGTGAGAGGGAAAGATAGAGATGATGAGGAATTCAGATGGTTAGAATTTCAGAGAACAAAAAGAGTGGATGCACTTGCGCCAGTACAGACAATTTTCAGTCATGTCGTTCAAGGTCTCTAATCATCGGTTACTTATCGTCTCGCGGACACCAACCAGGTAGTAGTCTACATCTACCAATATGACTTATTCTACTTGTTAGTGATTTCATGAATTTGTGCCATGTTTTGGTCTGGCCACCCCTAACTTTCTTCCAACTTTATTTTATAATATCATAAAAGAAAAGTTTACTGGATTTTTAAAAATCAATTATGGGAAATTTTCAGTGTTGTATTATTTCCTTAGCACTCTTGTTAAATAACACACATCAACATTATGCAACTTTTCTTAGTTGAAAATCATATCTATTCAACTCTAAATAGGTCATCATCCTATTTGACATATTTTTTAATTAAAATATAATTACAAATCAATTGAATACACAACAAACGCATGATTATTATTTATCTATATACTAATTCTTAATTGAATCTGGGTTTTTTTCAAAAGCTGTCATTCATACTTGAATGAAATAATTCTTTATCTGCTTTGTCGATTGAATTACAGCCTCGTGAAAACTATGGTCATCGTGGTTCAGGTGGTGGCGGAAGAGTTCCACGTCAAAGTGGAAGAGGTGGTGGTGGTCGACGAATGGGTGGTGGTGGTGGTGGTTCAGCTCGTGATCCTGATTGGAATAATCATATCAACAGTAATGGAGATGTTGCTGATCGTCGTCGAGGTTCAGGTGATTCAGATGTCTTAGAGTCTGACAACTTGCCGGATGGAGTATCTACAGAACGAGCGAACGGTGGAAGACACAACAACAAAGTAGGACGTCCTTCACCAGCTCCAAATGGATTTTATTCTGATCGTGAACGTGGGAACGACAGTGAAGATACTCTTAATCCGAATAATGAGAATAATTTCCCTTGTGGTGATGCATCTTCAGAAGATGGTGGAGGTTGTTCAGTGGATAATATGCGTTCAAAAGTGAATAAATATGTACATAGTCGGTAGGTGTCTTGTTCAATTTTTTATCTTCTAGTTTAATCTTGTACTGCATATATAGTTAATTTGTTTGTTTGTTTTAAATGAAAAAAATGTAGGTGACCAGAGTTGTTTCAACATCTAAAGTAACATCATAACTGAAGGTGGATATAAGGAAATTGAAGTCTCCTTGTGTAGTATCACTCATCTTTAGTCAAAATACAAAGTTAACAACTACTATGCGAAAATTTGACTGAAATTATCGATCATGCATACTGTAATTTATAACACAGATTAGTAGTGGTGTGACTTGATCGAAACGTCCGTCGTCAACGCATCAGGATGCTGTTGTTTTTTGTTTGATTAGTGCAAAATTTTGTTTGTGTGACTGAGCATTAAAACTTAGTCGTTATACAAACACTTACTTACGCCTGTTACCCCCTAATGGAGTATAAACCGCCGGTCAATATTCTCCAACCTACTTTGTCCTGCGCTTCCCTTTCCAGTTCTTTCCAATTTTTGATCGTTTCTCTCATGTCTTTCTCTATTTGTCGGCGTAATGTGTTCTGTTGCCTTCCTCTTTTCCTTTTACCTTAAGGATTTTATGTGGGTGCGTCTTGTGACGCAGTTCGGTGCTTGTTGCAGTGTGTCGCACTCTGTGTTGACAGAGTGGATCTTCCGAATTTCCTCAAAATGTTTATTTCCCTAGTTATACACTGAACATACAGGAGTTTGACAAGCAAAAAGGCGAATAAATGAACCAAAATAACTGAATAATAAAAAAATCAGGAAAAAGAGTGTATTTAAGTAAAGAAATAATTACCTTCAAAGAATGTGAAGGGAACCGATTGCATGGTTCTCTCTATTAGCCTTTGTTCTGAGCCATAGGTGAAAGCTCTTAAAGACATGGAATTTCATTGTTCATACGTAGACCACAGCAAAATAGTCATGATGGATTGTAATAGGATGCCAGTGCTATGTAGTTTTATTTTGGTACCACGATACTGTGCAGTGTGTGTGTAAGTCGATGAGATGATATTCCGAATAGATCGAATCCTATAAAGCCTATAATATCTGAAGATAGTGTTGTACTAACTGAATTATTATTTTTATTGTGTTTTTTAACTTACATTGGTGAACCTCCACATTACTAACATTGTGTTGTCACTAAATTTCAAAAGTCGTTCCGAGACAACGATGATTAAACACAGAGAGTGTTGCCGAGCATTTTCAACTCAAGGCTAGATTTCGCAAGCGTACAGAAAAATTACTTTCATCCACGCGTTGAAGACCCTTTAAAGCCAGACTGACAACACATAGCCGCAGGTTGGACGCCAATGGTCCAACGCTTCACTTACATAGGGTAAATTAAGTGGTCAGCGCTTTCGCGACCGTTCGCTTATTTTGGGGATCGCTATTTGTTGTCCACGCGTCAGTCAATATAACCAATTATCTTGAATGAGCATTCTTCAAGGCGTTGTCAGTCAACTTATCAAGTTTTATTGAGTTTTCACTGTTCAAACTTAGTGTAACTTTCTAAGTGGTCGGATATCGATCTTCTCATTGTGCCAGCTAAGTCTAGTGTTGCATCAGTGAGTAGTACACAGTCGATAATTTATTGATCCTTCGAAATGGTAATTTGGAACGTAGCCTTTTTATTATTATCACTCATATTAATACAACCGTATAAATTACTATATGATTGATTATTGAATTTTTTTTCAAGTCGTAACAGTAAATCACGTCCTCCACGTCGTTCACATCAAACTCGTCCACAAAATTCTGACCAATGGGGGGATAGTAATTGTCAATTCAACAATGTCGATTCATCTGTTGTAGGCGGTAATCAGAAATCACGCAGTGGGGTCGGTGGCGGTGGTGGTGGCAGTGGCGGCAGTAATAATAATAATCAATCGGCTAGACAACAGTCAGCGCAAGCTGTATACGAGGAATAATAGGAGTTTGCTTGTTTGTTGCTGTTGCATCCCCCCCCCTGCCCTCATGTGTATACACTTGTTTGTGTGTGGCATTTGTTTGAATTTTTTCAAGTCATTGGAAACTATAAATAAAAAAAGAAACCAATAATAATAATATCAATCACATGCGCTCATATCTTCTTCATCTCTTATTGTTGTTGTTGTTGTCGTTACCGTTATTGTTATTGTTTCTTGTGTTTCTTGTGTTACTACACCACTGTTCTGGATGGAGGTTGGTAAAATAGACAGACATTGATTGATTGACTCGTTTATTTGAGCTCTCTAACTATAACACACAACACTGTTTATGGTTTTTTCTTTGCAAATATTATTATTCAATCTCATCTGGTTTATTGCTTCATATACATACACATATATACATATATCTATATACATTACACATGTTTATACACTTTTACTTCGGTAAACCTGTGATTAGCGTGTATATTCTCTCTCTCTGTGTGTGTGTGCGTGTGTGTGTGTGTGGTTCGCATTCGTTTTGTTCATATTCCAAACAAAATAGTCAGTGCTTTATTTTGACCAATTCCAGTGGTGGTGATGTTTCATTGAGGAATTAATATAATAAATAAAAGAGTTTTAAAAGACAAAAAAATAGAAACATTCACAATTACTTCAGGTATATATATATATAAATATAAACATATACGTACTACCACTCTCATGCATCATAAAAACACAACAGTTGTAATTTTTTTCCCATTTGTTTGAAAAATAAGCAGAAAAAAAAACCGTTTGATCTGTTGGTTTTTATGAATTGGAATGGGGTAGAGATAATAAATAATTCGCTTTCGAACTCATCCAGTACACTTAATTTGACTGTGTTTCGGTCCCTTCATTTCACATTGTATCACAACTAATAATTCTTTGTTCAATCTTTATTTTTTTTTCTGGCGCGCGCGCGCGTTATCTATTGTTTTTAAATAAATTTGTTTCTCTTGTTACTACTACTACTACATTTTCCTCTTTGTCTCTTTTTCCATTCTTTTCTGATGATAATGTGCCTTTTTTTGTTTTTCAAGTCATTTGAACTTTTTAGGAATTAAATATAACAAAAACATATAAACTGAATAAAAAAGCATTAAAAAAGCTTTTGTTGTATTTCACACAATGGGCTTGTTTGTAAATTATCCTTGATATGTGTGTGTGCTTTGACATGCTTGAGTGTGTGTGTGTAGTAGTAGTAATGATAGTAGTAGTGGTAATAAGATGATGATGATGATGACACTTTTCAACTTGTTGTCAGTCTTCCAAATATCTTTTGTACTGAGACCTGAGTGACCCGTTTTTCTTTTTTTTGTTGATGTCATGCGGTTACTACTCCTCTATTCATTGGTTTTTTCCTTTTTTTTAATTCTTGGTGATATATATATTCATCTTGTTAGCTTGTTCCTTCTGACACACATCTCTTGCACAAATTTTTTGTTCTAATAATTAATTATTCGTGAATCGAGTTGCATTTGCGTCCTTTTATTGTGTTCTCCTATTTTTCATGTTTTTTTTTTGGTGAGCAGCAATGTAATGCTACCCCTTGCCCCCCGGTTGATGCATTCGACTCTTATTATTATTATTAATATTATGATCAATAGTAGTGTTTTTCAATAGATGAACATGTTTTAAATGATAGTATTTTGATTGCCTATCATAAGTGTGAATTTGTTTATAACATTGAGTGGTGTTTCAGGCATTTTGTGAATTAAATAACTAGTTATTGTGTAGAAGAATTATGGTGGTTGTTGATTCAGTTAGTCGATCAACAACCATGTAGAACGTCGTACATACGTACGCATGCAGGTATGTACATCAATCCAAGTTGTCATGTCACGATAGCACAGAGATGCAAATCTTATAGTGGTATAGGTAGTGAGAAGTATTAGCAGTAATTGGAAAGATCAAGGTTTGAAGATGTTATTCAAAGAGTATAATCTAGTGAAATTTTTTCGGGACAAGAAAGATGAAGGTCGTGAGGAATTTAGAAGATTAGAATTTCTGCAAAGTCCAAGAATCGATGCGTCTACTGCATTGCAAACGATTTTGAGCAGTGCCGTTAACCGTGGGTAACTAATGTCTCGCGGACACCAATCAGGTAGTTTGTAGTTAGTAATCGCGTTTTGCTCTAAGTTGATACACATACGAGTATCTGTCCTCTCTATACAAGTAGTTGAGTGTACAGTATCACTTTTATCTAGACTAGTTTACTACCTGTTTACGTTGTGTCTGACATCAAGTTTATATGCAATAGTTTTGCAACGGAATATAATCATAAATTAGGTTAGTTAAGTTAATCAGCTTAACTGACTATTGGTCTTTCTGCAAACAAACTTTCACTTCGAAGGTAAGAATTCATTGCCCCGGATAATATCTAGCTCATATCAAGTGACGAAAACTATCTATGTTTAGTTTCGACAAATCAACATAATGTGAGACTGTAAGTGCAGCTGCACAACTGTAGATATATTCTTGTCAGAGGTTGGATATATGGCTAACATTTAATTTTGTTTGTGCCTGTACAGCTTGACATTCTTGATATCTGAGTTCAAACAGTCACTGTCTTGTTTTTAACGGATATGATGTTTAAAGGGGGAAGGAACTGGTCAAGATTCCAGATGTGAACGTCAACGCCTTAATGACCAATGTGTGCAATATAATAAGAAACATATCCTAGATTTCACTACTAGACAATATTTATTAGTTCCATAATACCCTTAATAAAAGTCTGTTAAGCGAGTCAACATAATGTACAAAGAGAACTAAAAGTAAGTAAGGAATTAATTAACAACCCCATTATTCGAACCCTCGTTAATAATATATTGAAAATCATGGAGTGTCGAATACTCGCTCCAGTACAGATTGCTAATAATCAGTTCATGCTCGGCATGGGGTTGGATCTTCCAAGCTTATCAAGGCATGCAGCATCCTAAGGTCTCTGTTCTAATTCATCGTTCTAGCTTTAAAAATTTTCCTCTGTAGAATGAACCACCACCAAATTCCGTTTGTTAGACATATTGAACAAATATCCCTCTGAGCTAAAGTAACTGGGAGTATTTTAGCGGTGACCGAGTCGAGATTGACTATGACCACCACTTATTACTACCCGATCATAATGGATACAAAATAACTCCAGAGTAAGAAATATATTTGAAGGAGAAAGTGGGCAATATAACGAACAGCATGTTATGAATGATGGCAGCAACGCGAAACAGAAATGTGTGCTTAAGTAAGTGTACAGTTATACAGAAGGAACACATTAATAAATATTTCGTTTCCACCAATTGCATTCTCTTTGTAAAAGTGTTCCACTACAGTATCCTCAGTAAGGAAGCCTTCATAACCATTATGGGTTTAAAGTCAAGGAAGAGTTACTCAATTGCTTATTTTTTGTTGACAGGGGTTAAAAGAGTTGTTGAAGTTACGCGTAGAGATTGTTAGCCTAGAGGAGAGGTTGGAAATGGTGCCTTTATGAGACTATGTAGGAAGGTGATCTTATATCCTGTGTGTGGTGTAAAATGACTCACGTTAGTGCCTCAACTGAGGTACCACAAGCAGCTGTTTCCAAAAAAATCTTGAATAGGTCGACTGTACCGAACATCACTGTTTCTAGAATAGCCTTGATGCTAAGCTTGTACTTTTGATCATATTTATTTGAATTAATGTTAACATGGAGAATAAATGCTGGTTATTATGACCGTTGCCGCATCTAGGGGTTATTTTTATCGGGTTAATTGTTAAGGTAGGATGTAACGAGTTGTTATTTGAAGTGTATTAGAGATTAGGTACGGGGTGAAACTTTTTCCACCCCACTTATTAACAACTCTAGGCTTTGATAGTTGTGCGGCGTATCTAGCGCTTTGATAATTATTATTAGTCTGCGTGTTTAGATGTTAGTGGTACTTATCAGTCTTTGAACCTAAAGAGGTTGTACTGCATGATACCTTTTAGGTGGTTTAAAAGTTGGTTATATTTCTATCCACCTTGAGTTATTGAACATTACTGAAAAATTAGTGGGAAAAGTGTTTAAATTAGGTAAATATATAAGAGTGAAACTTGCTGAATCTTTGACACTTTGGCGTGCCTCAGGAGTTAGTCAGCATCATAAGGATCTGCTAAACCGTGCAAGAAGGACAGCTAACAGACCCGTTCAAGGTGAAGACCGGTGTCAGGCAAGGTTTCTTAATCTCACCTTCTCCTGGTGGTCGAATGTATTATGAAGACGTCAGCATCTAGAGGGAAGCACGGTATTCACTGAACAACTAATATGCAGCTGGACGATCTGCCTCTTCGATCGCACACGCAACAACAAATGCAAGAGAAGACGACTGGTGTAGTAGCAGCTCCAACAGCAGCAGATCTCAGCGTACATTAAGTGAAAAGGGAGATTTTTCAATACAACACAACATGCAGCAACCAGATCACACCCTATAGAAATGCCTTGCAGGACGTAAAGACCATTGTATATCTATGCAGCGTCGTTGACAAGCTAGGTGGATCTGATGCAGATGTGAAGGCGCGAGTTAGCAATGCGGATGTTTGATTTTTACACGTGAACAACATATGCAACTCAAAACAACTGACAACAAACACTAAAGTCACAATCTTCAATAAAAATATCAAACCAGTTCTACTGTATGGGGTGGAAACGTTGGAAAACTATGAAAGCCGTCATTTATAAGATACAAGTATTTATTAACTATTGTCTATACAAAATACTTCAGATCCGTTGGTTATACACCATCAGCAACTAACTACTTTGGAAGACAACAGACCAGATCCCACCGTGGGAGGAAATCAGGAAGAAGCGCTGGAAGTACTTGGGACACACATTGCGGAAAGCGCCCAAGTGCGTCACATGACAAGCCCTCACTTGAAGTCCGCAAAGCAAAAAGAAAGTGGAAGACCAAAGAACAGGATACTCCGAGTGTTGGAGACATACATGAAGAGAATGAATACCAGTTAGAGAGAAGTAGAAAAGAAGACCCAGGACAGAGAAGACTGGAAAAAGCTAGTGTGCGGCCTATGAACCACTGAGTGTAACAGGCGTAACTAAGTTAATCGCTGAATGTTACATGGGCTCTTACTAAAATCAATGAGCGTGAGTATAGGTGAGATTTTATAGATTAAGTGTTCAGCTACGAAATGGAGGAATTACCGTTAGTACATGATTACATCTAAACTAATGCTAATAACAATGATGTTCTAGTTTGGGTGACACTACTCTCAGATTCCGATTTATCATAAGACTAGTAGGAAAAAAAGAAATAGGAGAGGAAAGTACCCTAAACCTCAAATGACGCATCCAGTATTTCAAGAAACACAGCATTGGTAATTACATTGTTTCCTCATCGACAGTAAATACCAGCCGTTGTTACTTCTGCAGTGAATGGATTAACTGCATTTGCAATCATGCTGTGATGTAATAGTACTATAGGTTCTTGCTAAGTCCCCCCTGTCCACCGTTTTGGTATGTTTGCTGACAGTGTAGAGTCATTAGGCTAACAAAATTAACAACAACGAAGGCACAAGTATCATCAATAGTAAGCATATCGATTCCCACTAAAAAACCTGACTCGCCGAACAAAAAGTCAATCAGACAGTAGGAATAGGCTTCTGTAACCACAGCTTATACACCAACAAAACTACCGGTTGTGGTAAACTTCCGGCATCGGAGGGTATCTTAATGAAGAGTGGAGCTATTTTTGATAAAGAAAAGTTGGATAGTAGTGAACAACGATCTGAATGAGCAGTACCCACCTCAAACTTAAACTCTTCGTTCGAGGGTCAAAATGTCGCTTAAGGCAGGCCTCCCCCATTGAGGATGACTTCAGACTCCATATAAGTTGCTGAGGAAATCCATCTAACCCCTCAGAGACCTTCAGTTAGACAGCCTTCCTTAATCCGAGTCACGCACAGGAAACCATGGTCAGTACGAGCAGCTCTAGAACGTCAATATGTACCCAAGAACAGAACAATATGATGGTTCTCGGATTGCATGAGCTATTTGGGGGTCGCTTGGATGAAGCTCGCGCACATGACGCACTTCTGAAGTCACGCTGAATGTTGTAACAGCCAAAATAATTCGCTTAGATAACAACACGCTGATCGAATAAGACGCACACCAACGTTGGTCAACCTCCATTGACAACTCTCCGTACAGGACACGAAAACCACGGTCACGCAGTCTGAACACACTACACAATCAAATAACTTACAAAGACCAGTTCCAGCAGAACTGATCAACACTTTCTAACGAACCTGTTTATAAATCCGAGGACGCACCACTCGTCTCTATAGCAACTTAAGAAGACTGATGGTTAAACTGGTAGATATTTGAAGATCATACTCAGGTGAAAAATGGCTTTCCATTGTCATTACAAATGAAGAGGTAAGCCTGCAAGGCGTGACACTTCCGATGCGATAGAGTGCACTAAGCAGGAGGTGTAGTAGCGATATATTCATGTAATCATTTCAAAGCTGTAACACTACATCGTGCACAACTAACCGATGCAAAAGAATCATGCTGGTATTGTTTCAAAACTAATGGCACAAAGCACTTGGTTGAGGGATTTACCGACCACTCCCAAATATTAAAGCAGCAAAAGATGAGTTGGCTGGCTGGATATTGCAACTACCACTTCAAATGTTTGGCCAAACACTCTTGGCTGGAAACTTAGACACTCCTCTCCTAAATATTAGCAAGCTGGTTGCGACTTCCACAGGCTGGTCTCAAAGGCGACTTGGCACAGCAATTAAAAGTTCCGTACTGATTGAGGATTTATGCAACTCCCCTAGATAGACTAGAAATGGAAAACCCTCAAACTTGGATCATTTTATTAACAAATGATCAGCACCTGGTCGTAGATGTTCATGTCAACAAACCACTCAGAAGTAGACACCATAGTTCAGTCATGTTTAACATATTCATAAACGAAATATTCAAGCGATGCAAAAATAAGCCTTACTTTTGCCTAACGAAGGCGGACTAAACATACATAAGAGAGCATCACCTCACCGCCATTTGGCTAAGGGTGTTGTGGAGGCTAAGAGTAGATGATCGCTGGTAAACGGCCAGAGATACCATTCAAAACATTGTCCTACACAATATGCGCCAGGAAAATTACATACCTCAGAAAAGAGGAACGGAGGTTAGGCGAAGAAAAGGAGAATCTGGCTTAAGTGAAAGGTCTCTCTGAAGGATTGCGGCCTTAGTTTTTACTTAGCACTATAAAACGGCCGCAGCGCCAAAGTTCAAAGCAATAAGGGACACCTGCGAATGAAACTAGCAGTCAAGATACAGGAAAAGCAAAATATCTCTGTAAGTTCACAACCAAACGGAAATCTAAAAACCAGAGTGTTTGTGCTCTATTAGGTCCAAATGAGTAAGAATAAACCAACTTATAGATGGCTGAGATCTTTAAGGTCAACTTCACTGATCAGTTAAAACATGTACTCAAAGATCAGATAAGGACTCAAACCAGTTGATGTCTTAAGGAGTATCTGATTTACTCCTGGCTAAGTACCAAAACTCTCAAATCGCTGAAACCAGAAAAGTCCCCTGAATTTGATAATATTCGCTGTAAAGTCTGAAAGAGTGTGCAGAAACACTCAATTCACTGTTATGTGACTTGTTCAGCAGTTCTCTGGAGTCACACTAGCTTCCGGATGAATGGAAACAAGCTATTCTCTTTCCAATTTCTAAAGGAGGAGATTTGAAGTATCCCGCATATTTCAGACCAGTCACGTTACAACCAATAATACAGAAGGTTACGGAAGAACTAGTGGGAGAGCAAATGGGGGGTACATGGATAAGATCGAAATCGTCCATGAAGCCCAACAAGGGTTTCTGAAAGGCAGGTCATGTGCATCTAATCTTTTCATAGCATGGGACAGTTGGAAAACCCCCTTGGACCAAAAAAATACTGATTCGTATGATATTCTTCGTAAACGCGAGGGTTTTCGACACAGTACCTCAAGTACTCCTAATTAACAAAGTCGCAAAGATGGGCTTCACTAAACCTTTTCTATCCTGGCCCAGAAAGAGGAAAGAACAGAATCTCTTATACTAAGGCAAACGGGTTCCATGCGAGCTGGTGAGTTTTATAAAGATCCACTTTTTTCCTGATAGTTATCTATGACCCGTTAGATACATTTCCTTTGGCATCACCAATTTATGAAGACTACGCGATTATATGAAGGTCCATAAAAAGCGAAAGGGATTAGTTTGACCGTCGAAATAACTTTATAACGATAGAGGGCTAGGAAGCTGACAAACGGCTAAAACAGTCAGAATATCACATCATGAACATGATACCAAACGAGACACAGACAACTTACACTAGCAGTGGAAGTTGGCTCTGTCTTAAGAGTTTGATCTCGGTCTATTAACCACACAAATCCTTCAGACTGAATGCAGAGACGAGCAACCAAATGGGTGATTGGGTTGAAGAATACACCTCACGAAAACAGACCCCAAAACTTAGGATTATTCCCACCCAGTCATAGTGGGATCAGATGCAATCCGACAGTGGCACACAGCATACTAAATACTCCAAATTATCCTAGTAAGAGCATCTAGTCAATGAATCGCCACGATACAGCTTGAGGTAATTCTCGAAAAATTACGCGTCAAAGAGTGAACATTCGGGTTCGTGCACATATTTTTCATTAAAAGTTGTCGAAACTTTCAATGTTAATCCTCTTAGTGAATATCTCCAAGAAAAGACTTGATGAATACGTATATACATCTCCCTCTTGGACCGGTTATGTATGATGCATGTCTCGAAACTTGCTAGTTGCTATTACCGTCATCTCTTCAGATCACAAACTCATTCTATCTCGTTCATTACCCCTGTTTCTTCTTCTTTGTTCATAAATGATTGCCAAATGACTAGAATTAATGCCATGGGGTTGCTAGACTTCACCACAACGGACATTACCAAATGCCTGTAACCCTACCGAAACAACAAGAAGCGAGAGCAAATAAATCAGTTGGTTTGTAACGAAGCCTTAATATAACAATCTCTTCTTTCGACTATCAGTTTGTCTTGATCTCATGCTGGCTTTATTTCTGATTGTTGTCCATTGATTGCTCTAGTAAATCTAAGTACATTCTGTGTGCTTACTGCATCGTCGACTCCTCTTTTTCACTTGTTCGTTCCGCTTCCAGATAACATTAGACGCTGCTCCAAAGATATCCCCAGTACATGAGATACCTATTAGCTAAACGCAAACTAACCAAAGACCGAACTTACCTGTATAAGCAAGCTTGTGGCCGGGGGAATGGATATTGGAACTATTTACGAGGAGCCCACTTCAAAAGTTGTCTTGTCATTGACGTATTTGGAAGTTAGTTATGATTTGTGATTAATATTCGCAAGTTTGTTATAGGTTGAGTAATATCGTTTTAACGGTACTAGATTTTGTCTACCCCTTTTTCAGGGCTAATTGTGTGATGAAATCCCAACTAACCTTAGTTAGCATTTAAGTTCAATCACAAGCCAAATGAACGGAAAAACTTTAGACCAAGTAGGATTTAGGCTCATGTCTTTTCTGGCGGGATATCAGATATTGTATTCTGATAAATTAAAGAAGAATAAATTCACTGCTAATTCAGGGTTGCACAAGGTTGTCTCGTACTGATCGTATTTCCTTAAGGGAAAACCTTAGAAATTCATGTCAGAACAAAAGGGACAGAGTAATCTTTGCTTGGCATTTAAGGGGATGACATGCCAGGATCTTAACTTACTGTCAACTTCCATAGTTAGCATTATACTCCCCAACTAACTGGCATAAAGAACATGGTCAGATGGAAAAGGATTCTCAATACTCTCTAGCTTCAACGGCAGTTCTGAATTCTGGCATAATAACTTGCCCATTTATCTTTTATGTCTCACGGTAGGTAGACTTCGGGGTTCGGAATATACTGCATGTTTTACTAGTTTTTTTAACCGGAGTGAAGTGAAATGGTTACTTGGAATATCATGACTGTTCCACTAATACTCCTTTATAACTATCAATACATTATTATGCTTATATCACAAAGCAATATATTATTTTCTCGTCCAAGGCATGGTTATGTTGATTTATTGTCGATGACCTGGCTGAACTGTTCTGCAAAGTGAAAGGTTCAGTTAGTTACCTCTAGTTCCGATTTTGCGTAATCTTGAATATTGTGCATGAAAAATGAGGTGGCCAATAAGTGATTCTGAAACTTATTACCAATTACATCATTCTTCTAGAACTAGGAATTTTAGAAAGCAGGCTATTTCTGCCTTATAAATACATTCGAATATTTTCATCAGTTTTCTCTCGTAATTTTGCTATCTTGACGTGGTGGTGGTCAGGCTTGCCTATTGTGAGGACCCAACTAAGCTATATTGGCTCGAACATACGTTCCTCTAGGTTCTATAATTCCAGGCAGGTCTATTAAAGAACTGTAAGACTAGAAGCAGCAACTGAAAGCCTGAGGGAGGAACCATACTGCTGACTGTATAGAGGTGTGGCAGCAGTAAGGTGTTTCCCTCAGACAATCATCATCTAGAGCTATGCTGCCTCTTCACAAGGAAGAACGGGGCTAAAAAATGTCGACCCTAAAAATGTCACACCTCACCTTACCCCACGGATTTCCGTCTGTGGTGATAAAGTTATTAAGAGAGCGAAACTGACACTACAAACTTCCCATAAAAAGCTGTACCTGACAGACCTCAAGTAGTTGTCTCTCGAAATCCACAGTCACTCTCCTGTTCGCTAAGACCAATAATAAGCCGATTTCCTTTTCATGTTCCTCAAGAAACTCCCTTTCACAGCCGGGAAGTGACATCCGTAACAGCACATGAGACTAAATCGGTGATAATCAAATCCTTACCCTCGCAATGTTTCCTGTAAATTTTTCCATTGCTTATGTTGGGTTCAAATAATATAAAGATTTTTTCGGTTTTTTATTGTAATTGGTCTTTTAACTAAATAATTGCACCTTTAGTCATTTATCGGTCTGTTTTCATTGTCTCTTTTGACAATGTTGTTTCGAATTTGCTTTGAATAGTAAGATACCAACTTGGAATCATAGCAGCATAGTAAATTACAAAGATGGTGCGAATAGAATAGGTTAAATGGTAGACATTCTTTAATAAGGCGTGCGCTTATTACCCCTAATGGAGCATTAGCTGCTGATCAGCAAATTGTTTTTCTAACGACTGTTTTTTATTGAGTTGGATTTCTACGGGATGTGGTCGCTAACCCTAAATCCAACCCTCTCCCTTTATCCCTCCTTGGGACCGGCAGTTACTCTAGAACGGCTCCAAGCGGAGTTATAAGGCGTTTAATTTTTAGGTAATACGTAGTGAATATGTCTTTATCATTGTGATAGGTTCGGAGTTACGAATACATTAGATATCTCATCATTGATTTCTCTCGCACTTAAGCCTCCACTAAGGTCTTCGTATCCTTTAACGATTATAAACTACTGTCATGTTTTACTCTGACTTCGCCTTTTTCCAACACAGTATCGCTTCAACCGAGGTTGTAAGTTGGGTTTATTATAATCGGCATGTTTACCATATGACCCAGGCAGTTAATGGACATTTAAAAAAATCTTCGAACAATGTTACCCAAGATCGTACGTCATGCATTAAGCAGCTTCAGAGCACATACCAAAATGTTCTCAGATTTTTTTGTTGAATGCGTTCAAATACTACATGTTGCATCTCTCTTCATGTAACAGAACTGCACTGTCTAAGTTGTCATGAGAGTTCCTCTCTGTTATAAACAATAAGATCACTTATCTTTACACTAGTCTTTTCAAACACAAACATTTAAATAACATTTCAGTTCTTCAACTAAAGTCAAATAACCAATAACCTTTAGTTGATTTTCAGTGGTAGGTAGCTTTGGGCAATGTGGCGTGTTAAGTCTCACTAATCAGATACTACTATGCTCTAGAATTCACTTCCTTTGTCCACTATTAACATGTCTAACCGCTCTAAAGCTAGTGGATCTCTAGATCCATCCTCAAGACAGGATGTGTGTCTGCTGTTTTTCAATTTTATTGTATATTCTAAGATAGCAATAAAAAAATTCATTTATTAGAAATGTATGTTTATTTAATTATGAACTGATTACTAATATGCACATTCATTTACTTTGTATATATTAATCTAGGTACATATAATCACAACAAAGAACATTTTACCCATTCCATTTTTTCCCATGTATCCTAGTTTATTTATATTTAGTCTTTTATTGAGATTGTTGGTTGGTTATCCGAATCGATTGACTTTTGAATTACCTGACAATGAAGCAATTTGTTTTTATGAAGATCTTCCAGCTTCGAAAAAATATGTATTTAGTTATCATGTCATTCATGGCGGTCAAACAGATGTAGATATCATCATAAAAGATCCTAAACAAGTGATTATCTCCAATATAGAACGTGGTTCAGACGATGATATTCCTTTTACAACAATCTCTTCAAATGGTACTTATTCATTTTGTTTCAGTAATGAATTCTCGTCTATATCACATAAACTTATTTATTTTGAAATACGACCGGAAGATTTTGAATCATTAGCTGAAGAAGCTGGTTTACCAATCTATCCAACTGTTATGACTTTATTGGATAGTGTTATTGAAGTATTGCATCATTATTTATCACGAGCTGAAAGTTTTGGCATTGAATTGAAAAATCGTGATTATGGTGATTTCTTAGTGGCGGAAGATTTGAATGCAGCTGTTTTTATCTGGAGTATCATTATTACATTAGTTGTGATTGTAACTTCTGTTGGACAAGTTACAATATTGAAGAATTTCTTTAGTGAGAAAAAAGTTGCCTATTCAGCTGTGCCGACAAATTATCCTATTCATACGCTGAGAACATAAATTACTGTAGATTGTAGTAATATATACATTTGTGTTGTGCATAGGATAGTTATGATTTAAACAATGATTTGAATGCGAAATATTGCCTATTTCTTGTGACCACATTCAAAATTATCTCTGTTTTCCGTTGTGTTCTTTTTTCTCAAACACATCTTTATTTTTAAACAACTTTTGTCAAATTGTTAAACTTGTACAGTTTCATTTTTTAAAAGTTTGATTTGTATTCTAAACTTTGACTTGTGGTTGTGTTGGTGGTTTTTTCTTATTTCTCTCTGTCTCTCTCTGAGACACCTTAGTTCATCAGTTTGTGTTACATAAAACTATGCTTTTGGTTACCGACTATGTGATGATGATGATGATAACCAGTGATTATCAGTTAACTTTTTATTAAGAACTAATAGATGTCTATATGGTAAGGAATTAAACCAAGATAACGTCACTGACAATTAATCGGTGGAGCTCTGTAATCTGCATATTGTACTAAATTTTTTAAACCTCATTCTTGTGTTAGTTTTCTCAATCTGTACTGTCTACAAAGTTGGCTAATGTAAAAATATATGCTATCTCTAGGTTTAGACTTGCCTCATTTAGATTATGTGACAATATGTTCACTACATAAAGGCGCTGATTGTGAAGAGGAGTTCCCTAGTGCTTGGAAGTGTCAGTCAATAACAACGTAGAACTTTGTATGTACGTATAGCGCTTCAAGTTGTCATAGCACATTAGCACAGAGATGCAATTGTCAACTCAAATCCTATAGTAGTAGAGATAGTAGAATTACGAGCAATAATCGAAGAGATTAGGGTTCGAAGATATTATTCAAGAAGTTTAATTCAGTGAGATAAATTTAAAGATAAAAAGATGAGGATGATGAGGAATTCAGAAGATTAAAATTTAAGAGAAGACAAAGAATGGATGCACATATATCACTGCAAACGATTGTGAGCCATGTCATCCAAAGTCTCTAATCACCAGTTACAATTTTCTCGCGGGCCCCAACCAGGTAGTCTACGTCTACAAACATAGCTTAATCTACTTGTCAGCGATTTCACGGGTTTGTGCAATGTCTTGGTCTAGCCGCCTCTAGCTTTCTTACAACCTACCCCTACACTACAAAACAGCTCGTTGAGGTAGTCGGTGTTCGGGCATTTGTGACACATGTCCCAACCGCCTCAAATGATGAAGATTCACTACTTCATAGATCGATCTACCATCCTCACCTAGTGTCCGTATCCTATCGACAGCATTGCTTACTCGATAGTCCCAGGAAATACGAGCAATGCTTCGGAGACATCTATGATCGAATACTAATAGCCTATGAATGTGCTCTACTCTTACTAGCCAGTTTCCAACTTCATATAGTAGGGCGGGCGAGGTGCTACACAGTAGACTCGTTCTTTGGTTAGCAAATAGATATCTCGCCTACGCCATAAGTGGCGCAAGTCGGCAAATGCCAATCCAGCCTTCTGTATCCGTGTTGAGATGAGACACCAGGCCATCAGCACTGATGAGCGGTCAGCACGCTCAGTCGCTTCACGCCCTATCACTAGCTCAGGTGTTGACACAAGCCAATCCTGAAGCAACATTCTGCATTTCGAGGAGGAGAATCGCATTCCGAACATGCCTACATTGTTGTTTAAGGTGGTCAGAAGACAGCATTTCGTCAGCGTCTTCAACAAGCAGAACTATGTCGTTGGCATATTCTAAGTCGACAAGTGAATCTCCCGGTAAAAGTTCAACTCCTGAAAAATTAGATGAAAGTTTCGTCTCTAAAACCATTGTTTAATGCAAAGTTAAAGAAGAATGGAGAAAGCGGATAACCCTGACGGGAACTACTTTAAGTAATCGATTCCGATGACAGTTCTCCGTAAGCTGTAACTCGACCAGTAGTGTTCGAGTAGGAAACTTGTAGTAAGTTTATGTAGTTCTCTGGTACACCTTTAAGTTACAGACACTGCCACAGAACCTCACGATTGACAGTCAAGTGCAGCCTTAAGGTTGAGAAATACTACAATTATGAGACCTCTGGAAGTGTATATTCCAGGACCTGACTAATAGTGAATATGTGGTTTATACATTCACATCCAGGTCGAAAACCAGCCTGGTGTTCTTTTGTCCTTTCTTACAAATTGGGACAATCAGCGATTGAGACCAGTCGGACGGGATTTCTGTCCAGTCCCCAAATTCTAACTAAGATCTCAGTCAATCTAACTGATATAACTGGACCACCAACCTTAAAAATCTCAGGGTTTAATCTATCAAGACCTGCTGCTCTCCCTCGCTTCATATTTCCTATCGCTTTCTCAACTTCATAAAGAGTCGTAGGACTTACATCGATTTGCTATTCAGGATGACGAGATCGTGGGCAACGGAAGTTTGGCTGAAAGCCAGTTGAACTGATCCCTAAAGTGTTCTGCCCATCGATCCAATCTCCTGGATTGAGAATGAATAATAAAACCACATTTTTCCGAGATAGTTTCGCTAACAGATGGATTTCTAATACCGGTCCCCTCGATAGGTCGGAACAACTGCCTGCTGTTGCCTATTGCTGCTGCCTTTTCCATTTCCCATGCTTTCGTTACCCACCACTGTTCGCGATCATTGCGTAGGCTTTGATCGCCTGTAGACCCTTTGTGGCTACTGTCGGTCCCAAGCCCGAATAAAGGAGGAGGAAAGGTCTTCATTTAGAAGAGTTATGACGTCTCATGATGAAAGCCGAACTCCCTCGGAAGTTACGAGGTCTATGCCCCTTCTGACAACCAGAACCCTTCCAGGTTGTGGGCAGCCGGGAAGTAACATCCGCCTTCATACCCAAAAAATTTAAATAGTTAGTATTAAAACCATGGTTGCCAAAAGCTTATTTATATTCAGATGTGATTCTCGTCATTCGAATACCACTAATTGAATTCAGTAAGTTGACATATGACCGAAATGCCATTCATATATTGTGCTACCAGCAAAAGTACTTTTAACGTGATGAAGCCTTAACTAACACGGTAAGGTTTGAACTAGTAAATAAATGGTCACATATTATGCACATAAAATATGTGGTTTTATCTCATGAGCAAATCATGAATTGATCATTGTTAGACCAACATAAGAAACCTAGAAGCACTGGACAGCCGCTTCGTCCTAATATGGGACTCATCAGTTGTGAGTATCCACAACCCAGGGATATTCAGTCTCGCATGCAAATGCTTAACTTCTAGAACACGCAGCCGGCATCCAGTGGTGTCGAACTTCAATCAACCCAAGGTATTGTAAAACCTCACCCATTGTCTTCGGTAGGTAACTAACTGCCTGCACCCAACACGGTTGAACTCCCATTGGTCACGACTTCTCATTAGAACTCTGAGAATTTCCTCACGAAGCTAATCACTAGTATACACACCATCACTAGCATATTGAGCTTCACAATTCATTTTGTAAACGTTATGGGGTGTATGACACAATTAAATTCAAATTTTAAAAAAATCAATAAATAAGGTCAAATAAATGTTCATGTACATGTTGAATGCCAAAAGAAAAGAATCATTAAAAAGGAAATATTGACTTGAAAAAAAAGTTCAAATCAAGAGTTACTACTCATCATAAAGTGATAATATTTACTGAATTAGACGGGAGTTGACCTATTTCAATTCATTATCGATCTGAGCGAATTTGCAAAATAAAATAAGCGAATCACTTCTTAGTGCTTGCTTTTATAAAATATTCTTCAAATAATTTTATTGTTTTCATAAAGGTTATACTTGTGTACAAGTGTATAAATTGTCTTAATGAAATTATGAATCGATCATTCTTAAGCTACCATTAAAAACCTGGAAGCACTGGGGGGCCGTTTTGTCCTAATATGAGACTCATCAGTTGTGCACACTCACAGCTCTTACCACTTGCCGAATTCGAACCCAGGACCTTTAGTCTCGCAAACGAACGTTAAAATAGGATCCAACAGTGTTAATGTCTAACTTTAATCAATCTCCTGCTATTGCACAGACTGTAATGAAAACAATTTAAAGGTTATTGATTTTTTCATTCAAAGATCATGTGATTTGAAGTTTAATTTCATTGTATACATTGTAAGTATTCAAACATACTAATCATGTCTAAACTTACTTACTTACTTACTTACTTACTTACACCTGTTACCCACTAATGGAGCATAGGCAATCGACCAGCAAATCATTCTTCTGGTTAGCATTTTTTATTTAGCGAGTTGGATTTCTACGGGGTGTGGTCGGTGACCCCATGCCCAAGTCTTCTCATTTATCCAGGCTTGGAACAGGCAGTAACCTTAGAAGGACTCCAGGTGCAATGAAGAATACTAATAAAGAACTAGCACTATAACTCAGTATCTAAAGAAGATAAGACGATTTGATCGTTTTCATGTCACAGCATTCAACTATCGATCACGATCAACACGCAGATTCCAATCAAAGATAGTCCATACATTAGTCAGTCAGTCAGATGCAACGTAGAACTTCGTACGTAAGTACATCAGTTCATGTTGCCATGCCACATCAGCACAGAGGTATAATTGTCAATTCAAATCCAATAGTAGAAGAAGTAATCGAAGAGGTTAGGATTAGAAGATATTATTCAAGAAGTATGTGATTCAGTGAGAAAAGTTTAGAAAGTCAAAACTAGAGGTGTTGAAGAATCTAGAAGATTAAGATTTGAGAGAACACAAAGAATAAATGCACCGGCGCCATTGTGAACGATTTTGAGCCATGTCATTCAAGGTCTCTAACCATCGATTATTATAATCTCGCGGACCCCAACCAGGTAGTCGACAATTACCGACATGGCTAAGTCCACTCGTCAATGACTTCATGCATTTCTGCCATGTTTTGGTTTGGCCGCCCCTAGCTTTCTTCCAACCTATTCCTACACTACAAAACATAGCTCTTCGAGGCAGTCGGTGGTTCGGCATACGCATCACATGTCCCAACCACCTCAACTGATTAAGTTTCACCACTTCATCGATTGATCTTCCATCCTTACCTAGTACTCGTTTCCTAACGACAGCGTTGCTTACTCGGTTGTCCCACGATATACGAGCAATGCTTCTTAGACATGAATGATCGAAAACCAGTAACCTACGAATATCTTTTACTCTCACTGGCCATGTTTCACAGCCATATAGGAGAACGGAGCGAACTGCTGCACAGTACACTCGTCCTTTAGTCCATACATACCAAAATTGCTCAAATGACCGCTAGTCAGTGTGATTTCACAGACTAATTTTAAGTTTCAGTCTGAGAGGATTTAATCCGCCATAATCAAAGTTTATTTGGACAAGAAAAATTGTTTAAAAGCCATTAGATTACAATCATTGTTACGTTTTTTTTTGTAATCATAGATACCCTACGATCAATGCTTAGTTGATTAACTCATATTTCAAACTTGAATTAGAAAACAAATGTTCAATATCATTGTTCAATGTCACCTATTTTTTTTTGATTTGATTTGTAAGCGCATAATGAATGATGTGAAAATAGTTCATTGATTACTTTTAATCAATACATATAATCTACACAACTCAAAAATATTACAAAATAAATGTCAATATAATTCAAGCTTTTAAAACAGAGAAATTCTTGTTTTCAATCGTTATTTTACCATTTAACACTAAACAACATGAAGAATTATTTCTGTTTTTGTTTTTTGTTTAAACTGGCAGTTTTATGCATGAATATTGAAATGGCTGAAAAAAATATATTTGAAGATATGTTTAGAAACATTGAAACTGTTTTAAATAAGTTGGTATATACAGCGGAGCTTACGATATATATAAGTCTCTATTGTATTGATAAACGTGTATGTATATCAGTAACAAGTTGTGACATGTATGTTTAACCCAAAATGATAGTATAAGAACATTGCATCATACTACTTTAACTATTCGTACGATATACTTCTTCGCGTGATAACAAATTTTAATCCCGGAACTCTGAGAATCGAATAAGAAGTAGATTCTAGAGGAAGAAGTATATTTGATATCGAAATAATATCGAGGTAAGAGGGCCCACAAACGGCCAACGTCCACGCAGGAGACATGCGAAGAGGAGAATAGGAATAACACGCTTGGCGCGAGAGAGAAAGTCTTTAGTACAGATAAACAAGAGGTGTACAATCTAACAATTATTGTCAGAATTAAGTACAATAATAAATGTTTATATTTCAGGAATTGTGTTTTCTTCGTAAAAGTAAACTACTACACTACTGACTGAATAGACTTCGCAGGTGATCTGGATATTCTGTCACACACGCAACAACAAATGCAAGAGACGATAGGGGGTGTAGCATCAGCCTCATTCGCTGTAGGTCTCAGTGTACACAAAGGGTAAAGCAAGATTCTTTGATACAATACAACATGCACCAACCAAATCACACTTGACGGAGAAGCCTAGGAAGATGTTGAGATGGTCGTCAAGATTTGTAGCTCAGGTGGATGATTGTGGTGGTGGTGTTTGGTTCTCTGAGCTGGATGTTTTGGTTGTTTCGCTTCCATTGTTCTTCTGAACAACATCATCAGCAAAAACTTCAGATAGAAGTGAAGCATTTGAATTTTTCCACGTTTGACCTGTAGCTTGTTCTGCTAACCTCGATCTTGCTTAGTTGCTGTTGACCTTAAGCCTGTCGTTGTTTGCACCTTTATTTTGATTGTATCCCCCTTTTGATCTGATTCTTGATCTTATGACCGACTGCCTCGACGAGCTATGTTTTGTGGTGTACGAGTAGGCTGAAATAAAGTTAGGCCAGACCAAGTCATGGCACAAATTCATGAAGTCACTAACAAGTGGACTGAGTCATGTTGGTAGGTGTACGCTACATGGTTGGGGTCCACGAGAGCTGTCGCGTCAGAAGTTACTACTAAAGAGAAGTGTATCAGCTGCAGAAATATGGAAAGCTATGTGAAAGATGACAGCCAAGAATCTGCTTGTTAATGCGACCAATAGGAAAAAACATTTGAGGTGACAGTGATATCTAGGATGATCATAAAATGGACCAGTAGAAATTAACCAATAAGAATTGACTAATTGTTCTCTTAGGATACTGAATCAATACCCTGAAATTCTATTAATAAATGAATTATTCCATTAGGACTTAAAATTTTCACTCAATACCATTCAATTATCATAACAGGCAGAAGTCTGCAATCTCTTAAAGACTGCTGACCTAAATCACATACCAAGTCATCAACCAGAATCCTAAGTCTAATTTAGTCTGTTATTATAACTTGGAGTCCCTGACTTGAGCAATCACACACCTGACCCATACAATCGATCTTGAACAACCGGTGAAACTGCAAATAACCAGCCTGACGAGAAAAGGGGAATCATAAGTTGTATGACCGTAGTTTATGAGTTAACTGAAAGCTTATAGTGAATGAAATTCTTACGCACAGTATTTACATGAGAGAGTGGCCTAATCACTTAGGATCGCAAAGTACCGTTCACAGCAATAATTATTATTTTGAAGTGTCCTCTGAATTGACTAGTATATACATTGGAAGTTGAGGTTTCAAATATGAACACTTACATGTTAGGAATATGATATTTTGTGGGATATTTCGCCGCCTTACACTTCTCAACTTATAGCTGCACACAATTTAGAGGCGACTGCTAAAGGAGCCATTCTGAAAGTGCTGTCTGACAAAATATTATCTTATATATTAACAAGGTACAGCGATTGAGTCAAATACTTAGAATAGTTGCATTGACCAGATTTCCTTAAACTCTAAAATAAACCTAAAAATTAATAAAATCGTCAGATATTTGTCATATTAGATGTTTGTCCAGTCACAGTATCAATCGTGAAACATTTTAAAAAATGTCCAGAACACTAATTCAGAGTGCAGAAAATTTATCCTTGATAGTAAAATACTTTTATAAAATATTAACTACTTATGAGTAGGTTATATCAGTAGACAGAATTTATCCAACGAAAACACTAGGTTGAGTTAATTCATAGTAAAGTCAGCATTTTGTGGACTGCTTTATAAATGTGTTGTTTCATAGCGAATGCCTTGAAACAAATCGGAGTTGAATGTTGCACTGATTATAAAAAGACTTGCACCTTCCATTTCGTTTTGTAACCACTGATTTAGCTGCCCCTATGGAGCAAGTTACATTAGTCGAATTTCTGGTAATTTACTTGTTTACAGTGGTGAACACCTTCCAGTGTGACTAAAAAAATGTGTAATCAAAACAGTAAACAGCTTAATGGCGGCTCACTTTATTCATACTTGTAAAATTTTTGATTATTTTTCGAGTTAGAAATTTTGGAAATGTATACTATTTGTATATATAATCTGTGTTTTAATATAGTGGTAATGTTGAACGGTTGATGACTGGATTGAATTGTAAACTTTTTATTTCTCCGAATTCATGATAGTTAAAGGTCAGGGTTTTATCGAAGTGCCTATATCGCAAACTTCCAGCTTTATAGATTAACAAAATGTTCTTTTCAATAATAAGCTGAGTCATGTCGGTAGGTGTCGACTACCTGGTTGGGGTCCGCGAGATGGTAGTAATCGATGGTTAGAAACCCTAAATGACATGGCCCTAAACCGTTTGAAATGGTGAATCCACTCTTTGTGTTCTCTCAAATCCTAATCCTCTTGATTCTTTATCACCTTTATCTTCCTCTTTTTAAATTTACTTCACTAGATTCTACTTCTTGGATATTATTTTCAAATCTCTCTTCTAATCTCTCCGATTACTGCTAATACTTCCACTACCTTTATTACTGTGAGATTTGAAGTGACAATTACATCTGTGTGCTAATGTTTTAAGGTGACATGAACTGATGTCCGCACGTACGTACGAAGTTCTGCGTTGTAACTGACTGACTGGACTTCTAGTTATTCAACATTTTGTTGATTTGAGAAAAGGTTAGTTATTTTTTTCCTGTTTTAACTATTACCAAAATTCTTACGAGATTTTAGTGAGCACAATGAAGTCAAGAAATATATTGGTTTATTTGCGTGCATCTAAGATGCTGGTGATTATTTTTTTTCTGAAAAATATCCAATCACAATGTACACACTTTATAATCAACCGATCGATCAAGTAAGTGAGTGAGTGATTGATTGATTGACTGATTGATTGGTTGACTGATCGATAAGTCACTCATTAATGAATACGTTTCTTGTAATATGAACGAATCTTCACTTCTCTTTATATTGAATAGAATTCTTGAAACTTTTCTCGGACGAAAACTTCTACTTCATATTCTGTCGACTGTTTAATTTTTATATTATTTCGACGAAATAATTCGAAAAACTCTCTCATTTCACCGAAAAAAAAATTAATAGACAGTGGATTTTTGTTTCAAAAGACAATTCAGACAAAGTTAAATTGGTATTTAAAAAAAGATTATGGAATTAATCGATCAAAATCATTTGAAATCTTTAAAACAAACAACTACAAATTCATTGCATCTAATTGAGAACAATTTGTTTCGACTGGATAGTCAACCTGCAGATGTGAAAATTACTAAACAATGGACATTGAAATCATTGGTAATCATAGATATACATTTATATTTGTGTGTGTGTGCGTGCGTGTATGTGTGTTTATTTCGTTGAATTAGTTCTATAGCTATCCTTTAGTCAGACAAGGTGATACTACTATAGTAGTTTATTCGACTTAGTGGTTTTATCTACGAAACAACCTTGATATTCAGGTTGTCTCTTTCATGTGAGACTATTGAATGTAACACCAATCACTCTGTGGTTATTATGAGTTTGCTATAGAAAACTCTCTCAAGATATTCATGAAGAAATCGTCAGTGTATAAATAATTATCTGCTTTTTTTCTTACTTACGCCTGTTACACTTAAAGGAGAGAGCTTGATGTCTACGGGATGGGATAATTAATCCCCATGCCCAACCCTCCTCCTTTATTGGGGCTTGGGACTGGCAGTAAACCTAGAAGGGCTCCAAACCCACCATCTACAGTCTCGCGCGACTTCGAAGATTTTTCTCAGTTAACATTAGTGATTAATCATAAAGAAGTTTGGAATAATATTAACTACTATGTCAATTCATAATATCCAATATTCATATCAAACGTTTCTATTTTCCAATTAGAGTTTTGGAGATTATTGTTTTTACACATTTAAAATCAACAATCAATGATTCTCAGACCACCAGTCAAAACCTGGAAGCACTGAACGGCCGTTTCGTCCTGAAATGGGACTCATCAACAGCAATGCGCATACACGACTCCTGCCAAAGACAAATGGATGAGGTCGCGCAAAATCCCGAGATGCAGGAGTCATGAATGCGCAATGCTGATGAGTCTCACACCAGGATGAAACGGCCGTCCAGTGCTTCATGGTTTCTAATAGTGGTCTGAGAATCATTGATTGGTGATTTCAAATGTGTTTCTATCTTCCTTTGAGCTTCTTATATGTAGGTGGTTAAAACAGTGAAAGTTCAATGGATGAATTTCGTTGTTTAATTTAATGTCCATATTACCACTTCTGCAATTTAATTTTCCAAAGTTAACATTATTAACTGATATGGGATCTTTACATAAAGTAATTTACACTATAAAAGTGATTTCTCCTAACCTACTAGTAAATTCACTTTAACTGCAATAGTAATTTTAGCTAAAAAATATTGCCTACTTGTTATTTTATAAGTAGTTAATAAAAATTATAGACATTTTCTTGATTTAAGTTGTAAGTAAGCAGAAAACACCACTTCTCTCGTACCAATGTTTTTACCTACCTATGAAAATTTTGAAACTGGAAATTTTCTTAAAAATATATCATGATATAATTTATGGGTGAAACAGAAAGTGAGAAACTAATTATTAAAACAGATAAATTCACTGTCAGGTACTTAATCATTCCATCAGACTAAATTAATGTTTAAAGTTTTTGATTATGACAGCAAACTTTAGTTTCCTCCATGAAAAAACTTTCAAGTATGTCGACTGTGTACATCTAATACATGTAAGCAAGTATATAATGATCTTTTTAAGTTGTCTATAATTATTCATGTTGAGGACGTTGGTTCCCCAGAACTCGCTTAATAAATGCCCTAATTTTGGATTTTATGTTTGCGAGCATGGGCTGATCAGTTGACCTTGAGATTTCATTTCCCACCAGGAAAAGCCTTGACAGTGATTGGTTGCTGTGCATTTTAGTGTGCTACTTTTGTGACTGTCCCTAGGACGTTTCTATGATGTATAAATAAACGCGATTTGTGTGCTCGAATTCATTGTGCTTGTAGGGTGTTTATAGAATACACTTTCTACGCTATATCAAGACTTCTCATTAGCCGTTTGAGGTCAATGGATCAGAGTAGCCTACCTGGATGCTGGTTCATTGTCTCATTCTTGTTTATCGACTAAGGTGATCTAGTAATAGTTTCAAGCATACCTAGTGACGATCATAACAAATCATTCGAAATTAAAATAGATTTCTAAAAGAAACACTTTTTTCCAATATAGTATTATAGAGATCGTTGTTTCACATTGAAATCATGAATGAATTATGCTTAGATCACTGTTATAAATATAAAAGCACTAAATGGCCGTTTTATCCTGTTATGGGACTCGTCAGTGGCAGTGAGCAACCACGACGTCTGCTACACATGACTAGTGGAGTTCAACCCTGTCGTGTATAAGCAGTTACTACCAAAGACAACGGACGAAGTTATACAAAATCCTTAGGTTCATCATGGTTAAAAATTACTCATAGTGGATGCCAACTCAGTGGTCCGGAGTTTAGGCGCCAACGATCCTGGGTTCGAATCCTGCAATGGACAGGAGTCATAGATTCGCACTGTTGATTAGTCCCATACCAGGACGAAACCGTTGTCCAATGCGCTCAAGTTTCTAACGATAGTCTTATATTGATCGATTTATGAAGTCAAACATATTAAATTTTATACTGAATCCAAGATTTTTCATGTTTTCATGATTTGATTCATTCTAATTCTTTAGTAACATTTCTTATTTGTTTTTAAAATTGTTTTCAACTAACACTAACTCATTTTGCTCATCACCATTAATAAAATTAACTTTATAGACACTCAAGTAAAAAAAAGTTGATGATTTTCAATCTCTTTTTTAAAAAAACTTTTTTTCGCAACATAAAATATGTAGTTTTATCTTTTCCACCGTGCTCTTCTTTCTAGTTGAAAAAATCTAAACCCAAATCAGAATGGGATAAATACGCAGTGGTCGATCGATCGAATTGGTCTAAATCACAAATGACTGTGAGTGTAGTTTTGTATTTGTGTACGAATGTTTTTCTTTTTTTTCATTACATGTGACATCAGTTTGAAAGACGATTTTGTTGTGTTTTGTTTAAATTTATCGGCAATTCAATGTTCAAAAGTTTTTGTTACATGAGATGAATGATTAAAACATTTCTTTGAAATTAAGTATGTTCAATTCTCTTCGTTTTGTTTTCATACAGATACTAAAGTCTTTAAAGTCTTTTATTTTATAGATGAGATATATTTTTAGATAGTAGTAATTGAAAATGTAACATTTGTTCAAAATTAAATGTTACCATTGACTATAGAATATAAAAATGTTGTGAAACAATAAATTGAATGAAAATTGTATCAAAGGTGATTCAAATTTAAAAGAAAATGAATAAAGATACCAACATTTTTAGTCTTATTGAACACATAGAATTTGTTTAAATTTAAACACTTGTGATTTGTTTAAACATATCAAGATTGGTATGTAAAGAAAATGTGGAAATTTATGTACAATAAAAATGAATGAATTTGCCAATGGACCGAAAGATACTATCCAGATGCCTAAATTGAATTTGGTGGTTTCTTTTTAAAAGATTAATCCCTTTTAATTTCCATAGAAAAATCTAATCTACAAGATGATGGGATAGTAGCACAAGAGGCGTTCACTTGAAGTAGGTTCATGCGTCATTCGTTCCATCAGCATTTTGGGTTCTATGCAAATCACTGACTTGAAATTAAGCTATTTCAACAGTTGTAGGGGAAACCTTCGTACCTGTCACCAACTACCTTTCAGTACCGGATACCTACTTTGCATCTCGTCAATCTTATGAATGAAACCCGTTCCACGAGAAGGCAGTGAGTAGGACTTCTCTGACAATAGCTATATATGCGTGGTCATATGAGAGCCTTTCAAGAGAGAGAGAGAGGACTCTATCAAATCTTGTTTGTACCAGAACATTCAGAAGTAATATAGATGGATATACGATCCTACACAAGATTAGACGGCGGACCTTCCAATCTGATGAAAAGCGATATACTTTTTATGATATACTCATGATATATACATAAAAGCTGAAAATATTATCGATTCATCGTTAGTCAGAAAAAAAGCGAGTAATATTTAACGGTACGAATAGATTTTCATCATAAACGTGTTAAGCATGTTGAGTTTCATTGAAATCAGGAATCAATCATTGTTAGACAACCACAAGAAAGCTGGAAGTACTGGATGGCCGTTTCGTCCTAGTGTGGGACTCATCAGCAGTGCGCATCCAAGATATCCGCCAGCGGAGATGCTCACTAGAGAATAGCTTTGTGAGGGAATTCTCGGAGTTCTAATGAGAAGCTGTAATCACTGGAGTTACCTATGGAATACAATGCGGACTCAGTGGTATAGAGGTTAGTGGTTCGCACATGAGACCAAATGTCTGAGGTTTGATTACCACGAGCGAGTATCATAAATGTGTACTGTTGATAAGTCTCACACAAGGACGAAATAACTGTTCAGTAAGTACTTTTATTTTTCTAATGGCGGTCTAACATTGATGGATTCATAATGGATTTTCTGTTCAATTAATACACTGAATGAGATGATAAAACATTTATTGACAAAATTAACGACAATATCTTTTTCATAATAGTGATTATTTGTGGAAGCGTACTTAATTATGTTTTCTAGATTTCATTGTTTAAAAAAAACATCTCTCGCAAATCCTGAGAAATCTTTCTGACTTTTAATTACCTATCTCTCTGTTTCACTTTCCACCAACAATTAAGATAGCAAAGAAAATTTGCAGTGGTTTGTTGAATAGAACAAACGTAATAATCAAACATTTCGATTCAACTATATGTGTTAGTTAACTCTCTCTCTATCTCACTTTTGGATATGAAGGCATAACTTTATTACTTACTTACTTACCTTCCTACTTAACTACTTACTTACTTACTTACGCCTGTTACCCCTAATGGAGCATAGGCCGCTGACCAGTGAATTTCTACTGGATAGGGTTGCTACCCTCATTACTAACCTTCCTCCTTTATCCGGGCTTGGGACCGGTAGTAACCCTAGAAGAGCTTCAGGCGGAGTTATGAAGGCATAAACTAGTTGTCATAAACCAACGACTACGAACTAGAATTATTTAGGATTCCGGCTGACATGATTCATGTCTTGCGTTATCCGTCTTCAGTAGATGAGGATCCATGTTAGTGGAGAGGGTATTGTACATTAGTAATGATAAACATATATATTAATTCAACAAATACTAACATTCTTTTTGAACATTCCATGTTTAGTTCAGTTTAATTGGTGAACAGAATTCTGGAATTTTTAAGAAAATTGATAACAAGTGAGAGAGGGTTTTCTAAATATTCAAATTAAAACTAGGAAACAAGACGTAATTGTAATTAAACAATTTCAAATTCTTATAATTTTTGTAAAAAATAATAATAACTCCAAATTTAGACTAGATTTAAGATGAAATAACAAAATCAATATTGTTAATCATTCGAGTTAGTCAAGTCAATAGTTGCCTTTTAGTAACAAGGTGCTTGAACTCAGTAGCTAAGTAGATAACACGATGGCGTTAACATCGTGTAAGGTATCCGGTTCGATTGTTGAACTGAACATGAGCTCTGAGATGCAGTTACATCCAACTAACTGACTGAACAAAATAACGAACAAAGTGTTGAAGTGTTTGGTGCTTGACTAATACATTAAAACTTCACTGTCAAATGATTTCTATTTAAGAGTTTTGCAACTAAGAAACTACTGTTATCTAGTTTCTGGTATATTTCTTTGTTTCAAACTGAAATTATGAAAGCATTATTGTTAGACTACATTTTGAAGGAATCTGGAAGTACCGGACGGCCGTTTAGTCCTAGTATGGGATTGATCAACAATGCGCACGCACGACACCTGCAAGCAGGAATCGGACCGATGCTTGAACGCTCGACTTCTTGGCCACTGAGCCGACATTCTACAGTGTGAATGTGCAAATTTGATCGGTTTGATGTTTTGTGCAGCCTCACCAACTGCGTCTTCGGTAAGTAACGGCCTACACCCGACACGGTTAAAACCAATTGATCACAGCTTCCCACTGGAACTCAGAGAATATCCTCACAATACTAGTCACCACCAGAGCCGTGGAAATTGTTGTTTTACATTAAGATCATGAATCAATCACTAGATGGCCATCCAGTGCTTCCAGGTGTCGGTTAATAGTCGGCTAACAATCACTGATTCATGGTTTCAATCAAAAAAATAACAATCTTCATAACTCTACAATATTCAGTTTTGTGATTTTCGACCTACATGGTTTATTATTACTCAACCTTCATTATCATATTTCGCAACAATATCACGGCCTACTTTGTTTAGATTTGAAGTTTAACTTTCCTTTAGACCAATTACATTCTGATTAATTGTGATTTTGGTGTTTATTAAGTCCTCATTCGCTCTTTTATTCATGTTGACTATCATTGGATGCCAACTCAACAGTTTAGAGGTTAGGCGGTCACGTGCAAGACTAAAAGTTCTGGGTTCGATTCTTGCCAGTAGCAGAAATCATGAATGCGCGCTGCCGCTGATGAGTCCCATACCATGACGAAACGACCATCTAATGCTTCCAGGTTTTTTCTGATGGTGGTCTAACAATGATTGATTGATAATTTCAAGGTAAAACAACGATCTTGTTTCAGTAGACCTCTAGCCCTGCATGATCAGATGATCTATGGTATAATGAATTGATTAGTCAGACATGTATATACCAATGTGTTTTCTACCGATAGCCAACTTGATCTGAATGCTTCTGTTGATAATATTGAGTTAAAAATTGATGCATGAAATCCCATTTATTTTCAATAATTTTAATGAGTAAACCATCAAATAGGCCATCTCTCATCTTCGCGTTTTAATGGCTCGATATTATGCTCGTCAATTGATATGCTTGAATGCGATTATGAGTTCACCTTAGTCCGTAAAGGAGAACGAAGACAAATAATCCAGTAACACGATAGGCTACTCCAATCTGAGCATCCCAAAGCTCCACTAAGTAGAAGAAGAAGTGTTGACAAGACATAGAAAGTGTATTCTACAAGCACTCAGAAAATATAAGGTTTACAAGCACACAAATCGAGTTTATTTACACATGATAGAAACGCCGTTGAGCAAGCCGCAAAATGGCATACTAAAATAACACATCAACCAATGATAGCCAAGGATTTTCCGAGTAGGAAATGCAATCTTAAGGTCAACTGATCAGCCCATGCGCGAAAGTATAAAAGCCAAATCAAGTGAGTTCTGGGTATCTAACCTCCAGAACACTCGGGCAACCTGACTCCAATTCAGATGAACAATTGAATTTCCCTATGAAATAAATCATCCTTTCAATGTGTGTTTATCATACTTAGACAAACCACGCTTGTACGACAGTGTTAATAGAAAAGCCAAATACGATTGTGTTTGCTAGACATGTGATAAGCGTAGTAAGCATGCACGCTTACACACACACATATAATCAAATATAAATTAGTCAATATTGTTATTGAATTATTGAAAATTGAAAAAAATGTTCAATACAACTTCAACAACTAATCATCAAACGTAGGAGAATAAATAAATGGTGAGATCCGCCTGATACTCACTCACATTCATAATATTTGTTTGATAAATCTATGAAACTTCAGTGTAAATGCATGATTATACTTGCGAACACTTAACCTCTGGACTACTAATCCGACAGTATCCAACGATGTTAATGTCTCACTTCTATCAAGCCACGGTCTATTGTGCAACCTTATGCACTGCCTTCGGTGAGCATCGCTTCAAACCCGAACAGGATTATTGAACTCTACTGGTCATGACTTTTTCCCTGGAATTCGAAGAAACATCCTAACGTCAATTCACACTGCTGATGAGTACTCTCACACAACAGGGACAAAACGGCTCGTTCTATGCTTCAAGGTTTATAACAGTGGTTCAATATTGATTAATTCATGATTTCAAAGAATTCATTTGTACAGATTAATGTAACTTCATTATCAATAAATTTGGAATGAATTTTTAATTGAATTTTTCATGTACATTATCTGAACTGTATGGAAGATACTTGATGTATTATTTGAGCTACGCAATTTGCATAAATCTTAACGAATAAAATATTTAGAAAATTGACTATCTCATCGAAACTTCATACGAGTTTTTGGAATACTGATTTGGCGATTGAAACAACGAGTAGTAAGTAGGTTCGTAAATGAATAACAGTACTAGGGATACAGGTATGACCAGATAAACACGAAATCTATATTTTAGATTTCACCGCTAGACAAAATTCAAATATATTCTGTTTTACTAAGATAGTTCGATTGTTGTGGAGTCTCATAGCTTGTCCTGATGACCTAGAACGTGATTCGGTGTTTAATGAAAAGTCGTACAGTTTTAGTGTTTTTAGTCTGCTATCGTCTTTGAAGTCTCTAACAGTGGTTCGTTGAAATGATGTATATATGTGTAGCTCAGTGGTCAAAAAGTTACTCATCCACACGCGAGACTGAATGTCTTAGGTTCGATTCTCGAGAGCGGATGTCGTTGAAGTGCACTACCGATGACTGCCATACTAAGACTATACAGCCGTCCAGTGCTTCCAGCTTTCTCATGGTATTATGTAAATGATTGAAGGTTCATTTAGCAACGCGTGGTATGACTTTGATTTGTAGGTTCGTCCTTTCATGGAACTTCTCAACAATGCGCATCGACGACCTCGGCATGCGGGACTCGAACACAGCACATCCAGTCTTGCACGCAAACACCTAACCTATAAGACCACCTATTTGGTATGCGATTGCGTTAATACTTCACTTCATTCAATCAATCTATGATGTTGTGCAATCTTCATCCTGTGCCAGACACAGACATGCATGCTTTCAACTATGAAAATAATATAATCTTCACAAATTCCCTTCATTTAAAAAATGATCAATTATCAATTTTGATGATTCTAAAATTCACTACTTTCAGTTAATTTCTATTGTTTAAATGAAGTAAAATGTTCACTTGATATGTCATTTTCAAATGTTTTCATTTTAATAATTTTTTCAGTTTAGTCCAAGTCCAACACGATATTATATCAAAAGATTCACTGTTGAACGTCCATATACTTGTAGTTTCAAGAGTACTGGTCGAACGAAACCATATCCATTGTTTAGTAATAATGGTTTATGGTTACTTCCTGGTGCTTATAATATTAATCAAGTAGATGAAAAGTATGTGCGTTGGTTTCATTATTACATTTTGGTTTTAAATTTTTGATTGAAAGTTAATCAGAGAGATCAGTGTTTATACACATTGAAATAATGAATCAATCATTGTTAGACCATTATTAGGAACTTGGAAGCACTGGATGGCCGTTTTGTCCTGATACGGGACTCACCAGCAGTGCGCATCTATGACTCCTGCCACCCGCAGGGTTCGAACTCAAAGAACTTCGGTCTTGCGTATGAACGCCTAACCTCTGGACGATTGAACCGGCATCCAGCGATAAGATAATTATAACACTGAGTTGTAAGTTTTCAGAAATGGAGATCGTTGTTTCATCTCGAAATCATTGATGAAGACATGAACAGTGGAATTGAACGCTGTCGGACGTAGGCAGTAACGACCGAAAACAATTGGGTGAGGTTACGCTACGTCGTTAAATTGATCAGAGTTAGACATTTGCGCCGTGGGGTGCTACCGGCTCAGCAGTACAGAGGTTAGGCGTTCGTGCGCAAGATCGGAGGTCCATTTTCTAGCTCTATTGGTAATAGTTCAATTTATTACAGCATAAAACATGAATTATCATTATAGGGTTGTGGAGATTGTTGAGTTAATTTATGGAATCATGAATCGATCAATGTTAGACTACCCATTAGATACTTGGAATCATTGAAACGCCGATTCATACTGGTATAGGAATCATAAACAGTGCGCATCCACGACTCTCGTCAATAGCAGGATTCCAACCCAGGACCTTCGTTCTTGAGCGCAAATGTTTAGTCTTCAGACCGCTGATGTTTTACTGAGAATTCATGACCAGCGGGGTTCAAGTCTCTTTAGGTGTGAAGCAGTGCACATTGAAGACGGTGGATGAGGTTGCGCCAAAACCATGGATTGATCGAGGTTAGACGTTAACAGCGTTAGGTACAGGCTCAATTGTCTAGAGTACAAGACCGATGGTCATGAGTTCGAACCTTGTGACTAGCAGAAGTCACGTGAAAGCTCACTACTGATGAGTAGTTTCGTACCAGGACGAAATTGTCGTTCAGTGCTTCCAGGTTTCTTCAAATGCTTACCTATCATTGAATGATTCATGATTTCAAGATATATCTTACAATCGAATACTTTTATTCATTCATACTAAACAGGATGTGATTGAAACTTTGTTGTATTGCGTAGGTGGATTTCCATTCTCAGATAATAATGGTCATTAATAGAGTGATGAAAGGATGAAGTTGAAGCGTTCTAGTATTATAATAAATATTATCTTTTATACTGTCTTCAGATTTGGACACTGATATACATACGTCTAAGTGAATGTACAGACTAGAAATGAATGGAAAACTATGTTTTTAGTAGACCTAGTAGTTGTACAAATACTGAGGAGAGGTGAACGTCAACCCTGTTCTAGAGTGTACGAGCTTACATATAAGTAATGAAGTGTTTAGGTGGAAGCTTATGTACCAGTAATGTGTATGTTAGTCACAAGAGACAATCTATGATAATAAATACATTCTCATGGGATTAGTAACCATCTACCTTCTACGAAGAGGTTATATTAACATGTATACCGAGAGATGTATGGATGAAAATGCATGTGTGTATGATAAACACGTAAGGTACATTTCCTCTTGGTTCGACGCCCCTTATGTCAAAATCCACGATGTTCCTCCTGTATCCTGACAATAAAGCAAATCTAAGCAGCGAGTTTGTGCGTGGATCGTCTAACAGAATCTCCACCTGGTGTCAACAAATGACGTTTTACCAAACACCGTGGCTAGAATCATCCAAATTGAGGAAACCAATATAGAGATCGCTGACTGCAACTGTTTTCGATACAATTTGATATTAATCTTATCATTGAGCAGTTAAGTAGAGATTTACTAAATGGTAAATATTATATCTTAGTCAGTCAGCGACAACGCACAACTTAGTACGTACGTACATCAGCTCAAGTTGTTATACCACATTTGCACAGAGAGATGCAATTGTCGATTCAAATCCCATACTAGTAGAGGTAGTAGACATATTAGCAGTAATCGGAAAGATTAGGGTCTGAGGATAATATTCAAGAAGTTCAATCCAGAAGAACGGAAAGATGAAGGTCATGAGGAATTTAAAAGATCGGAATTTGAGAGAAGGCGAAGATTGGATGTACCATCCTCATTGCAAACTATTTTAAGCCATGTCATTCAAGGTTGGTAACCACTGTTTAGCTGATCCCAACTAGGTAGTCTACACTTATTAACATGGCTCAATTTAATTGTCAATGAGTTCATGGATTTGTGCCACATTTCGGTCCAGCCTACTCCTACCCTACATTACAAAACATCGCTCGTCAGGGCAATCAGTGTTTGGACATACCTAACAGATCTCCCAACCAACTCAACTAATGAACATTCCCTACTTCACCAATGAATTTGCTATCCTTACCTTGTACGTTCTTCCAAATAGCTGCACTACTTACTCTAATACCCCAAGATATATATATCTATATATAATATCTTTTCAGATATTTCTATTTTAAATAAACAAAATTTCGATTTTTAAAAATAAAAAATGACCATTTCAAAAAACAATTTTCAAAGAAAATAAAAATACAAATAAAATTGTACGTTGAACATTCTTTCCTTTTTTTGTTCATTAAAACAAATTGTTGTTGTTGTTTTTTTTTTGATGACATTATTTGAACATTGAAATCTTTCGATTGTTTGTTTATTCAAAAACCAAAAAAACGGACATACAAAATGAAACAGAATTGTACATTGAACATATCAACAGATAAACACGAACCGACATTTCGCGGTCGGCAATGTATCTATCATCTTTTCGCATAACTTACTTATCATGATATACAGTTAGTTAGTTAGTAAACAGTCAGCTAACTGTACAAATTTTACTGATGTGATTTATTTATTTACATTACTTAACGAACTTGTTTTGTTCAAGGGGATTTTTTTCATTTTGTATTGTATTGTAATGTACCACTTATGATTTTTATTGTTTTAAAGATTACATCAATGTCATCGAACGTATTCATTTAAAAATACACCAAGAAAATCCAATGACATTCTATTTGGTATACAAGATAAAGTAAGTGGGCGGTTTTTTTGCCACAATTTTCCTCAGTTTGGTGTTGAACATTTGGAATAATAAGCGCATGCCAAAGGGAAATTGAATGTCAATGTCAAATAGTAATGTTTGTTTTAAAAAATAATATTTTATACACAATTTTCATGATGTTCAATGTTCAATTCATGATTTTATTAAAGAGATGATATTTTTTTGATTTATGATATTTCGTGATATTTCGTTGATAAGAGTATTTGCATCATCAGAAACGCAAAGAAAAGATTGTTCACAATAACTGAACACAACAATATATATGTATATATGTCAATTTCATTTGTGGTCAGATAAATATATTGTAGTGAAGGAGAACACCAGTGGGGCAACCGAATTGTATTCAGCGAAAATTACAGAGTTACTCAGTAAAATTGGAAAACCATATCGTAAATAGTTAATTTGCAAAATATCAGTTCATCATATCGAACTGCACTGTTCCTGTTGCAAAACATCAATCCATGGTCACTATTCATGCGTTTCATACAAATTCCATTGTGTTCTTCTAACTTTTCCTTTCTTGATCTTCCCCTATCTTCTGCTGCCAGACATTACGTTGACATTCACGTCATATACTACTTATAAGTAGCTCGCACCACAATATTATTGTCAGAGGATGCTTTTGTTTAAATATTGGCCTAAAGATAAATATATATAATTGATATGCTTGAATGCTATTACGAGTTTATCTTAGTCAGTAAACGAGAGCGAAGACAAATGAGCCAGTGACACGATAGGCTACTCTAATCCGAACGTCCCAAGGTCCCACTAAGTAGAGGAACAAGTCTTGATAAGACGTATAAAGTGTATTTTACAAGCACCAAGAAAATATGAGGTTCCACAAGCACACATATCGAGTTTATTTATACATGATAGAAATATCATTGAGAGAGCCACAAAAATAACGTACTAAAATAATACATCAACCAAAATAACAGTCAAGGATTTTCCGAATGGGTAATGTAATCTCAAGGTCAACTGATCAGCCCATGCGCTAAAACGTAAAATCCAAAATAAGGACCTTTTCCAAGTGAGTTCTGGGGATCTACCGTCCCCAACAAGTAACAACAACAGATATTTCAGCATTAGAAGTTATGGGCTAAGCTTTGAAAAGTTCAACCCTATTCGCGTGTAGACAGTAACTACTGAAGACAAATATGTGAGGTAGCACAAAATTCATAGATTGATTAGAGTTAGACAATAACATCATCGGGTGCTGACTCAGTGGTTCAGAAATTAGACGTTCATGCGCAAGATCGATGGACCGTGGTTCAAATCTGATGAGTATCACGAGTCGTGTGAATGCGGAAAAAACGGCCGTCCAGTGTTTCTATGTATCTGATAGTGGTCTAACAATGATTGATTCATAATGCCAATATGTTAGAAGATGACCCGACTGGAATGGTTTCAAATAAATTAATGTTTACAAGAAGTTTATAAAATTAACATTATCGTGATAAAACCGCATTGAACACGGAATTTTCTATTCATTACATTTGATTGAAATCTGGAACTCATCAATGTTATACTGTCATCAAAAACGTGGACGCACTGGATGGCCATTTCCTGCTAGTATGGTACTCGTCAACAGTGCGCAGCCACGACCCGCGCTCGTGAATACCCAACTCAGAACCTTTAGTCTTGCGCTTGAACGCCTTACCTCTAGATCACTGAGCCAGCAGCCAATGATGTTAATCTCTAACTTCAGTTGATTCACAGCCCTGAACAAGGCTTCATACCTGAGTAGGGTGGAAGGCCATCAATCATGATTTCTCACTAGAACTCGGAGAAACTTCATTACGGAGCTAGTCATCAGTGAGCACATGATAGTTTGTATTATAGGGTTTTTGTGAGATTGTTGAGTTTCATCGGAATCATGAAATGATCCGATACTTTGAGTAATTTCCGATTGGAACAATGTGGAAATACTGGATGGGGAGAGGAGCACACAGAACACAAGAGAGTTTCTAGAAACCTGGAACTCATCAGCCAATCAGCAATCAAGAAATAGATCGACCTTGACTCAATTTATCAACCAATCAGAAAAATCATTGGCGATATAGGATCAGGAAGTAAATTAAAACGGAGATACAATCAATACATTGGTGCAAACAACGACAGGTTCAAGGTCAACAGGAACCAATCAACATCGAGCTCAAACAGAACCAGTTACGAGTTACATGTACATGGAGAAATTCGAATACTTCACTTCCTTCTACCGGAAGTTTAGTTGAAGTATAACAATCAAAAAATCTCCACAACCATAACATCTAGTTGAGAGAATGAAACATCACCACTTCCAATAATCGTCTAATCATTGAATTAATTTTTACGGATTCAATCAGCAAAAACTTGACTGTTTCTGAAATTTTGTGACAAGTTAATTCTGTAGAGTAAAGTAAATATATAACCGAAATAAATTATCACACTATTTAAGTCATAATGTATATCTTCCTATATTTACTTTGAAAAAATGACTTGTATATTTAGTCACGAAACATTTGAAGAAATAACAAGTTTCTAATATCACCAACTAATGTTAATGGGAAATTATTTTAGATGGAATATTTTTCGTTATTGGATTGTGAAGATTAATCATTATTAGACTATCATTAGAAACCTGAATAATTTAGTAGGTTGTTTCGTCCTAGTGTGACATTCTTCAGCGGTGTGCATCCACGATCCACGCACACCAGAATTGGACCTAGGACCTTCGGTCGTACGTGTGAATGCTTAAGCGGTTAACCATTGAGTCAATGTTAGGATATTCATCCAATATCCTAAGAGAATTATTAGTCAATTCGTATTGGTTCATTCCTACTGGTCAATTTTATGGTCGTCCTAGTAGATATCAATGTCACGTGCTCCAATGTTGTTTCTTATTGGTCGTCCTAACTGTCAATGTCACAAACTTTGACGATATTTCCTATTTGACCAAAATGTATATATACGCATTATCTGTAACGTTTTATGACCACGACCAGGACCAGGGCTCGGTCCCGGACCCCTAGTCCGATATCCTGATTATCTTCTGGATTTGAACCTCGTACTTTCTGGGTGTTTGTAGAATACAGGTTCTACTTCATATCACGTCTTCTTATTTTTGATAAATACAGGGGTTGGGATAATCGGATTTGAGTAGCATGTCGTGTCGCCGGATCCTCAATCCTCGCTCTCGTTTTCTGTCTAGGTAAACTCGCAATAGTTCAAGTATATCAAGTTGACGTGTTTACGTGCAGGCGTAACAGTCAACATTCAAATGTCTAGCTTCTATCAATACATGTTCTTGCATAAATTCAACGATTATCTTCATCCGGTACTTGTTGGGGACGTTAGATCCTGATTTGGGGGTTTCGTGTTTCCGAGCATGTGCTGATCAGTTGACCTTGAGATTTCATTTCCCACCAGGAAAATCCTTGGCTGTGTGTGATTGGTTGCTGTGTATTTTAGTGTGCTATTTTTGCGACTGTCCCAAGGACGTTTCTATGATGTATAAATAAACGCGATTTGTATGCTCGAATTCATTGTGTTTGTAGGGTGTTTAAAGAATATACTTTCTACGCTATATCCAAACTTCTCGTTAGCTGTTTGAGGTCAACGGATCAGAATAGCCTACCTGGACGCTGGTTCATTTTCTGGTTCTAGTTTATCGACTAAGGTGAACCCGTAATAGTTTGAAGCGCACTTAGTGACGATCATAACAGTACTGCTTCACACCCAACTTCTTACTAGAAACCGGGAGAAATTAAGTTAATAGAATAGTTATTATTTGATAACTTTATTCCATTCAATTACTTGTTCATTTTCACTTACTGAAATGGATATGCGATCAAATATGATTGAGAAGCACCGATGGAGCATAGGCCGTCGACCAGCATCCTCCAACCTATTCTGTCTTGGGCTTTCCTTTCCAGTTCTGAACAATTTTAGGTCATTCTTCTTATCTCTGCCTCTATTTCTCGGAGTGATGTGTTCCTTAGCCTTCCTCTTTCCCTTTGACTTCGAGGGTTCCAAGTGAGGAATTGGTCTTGTGACGCAGTTGGGTGCTTCTTTCATTGTGTGTTCTATCCCCTTCCAACACTTCTTCTTGATTTCTTCCTCAGTTAGAATCCTGTTTCTCCTCTCCCACAGTAGGTTGTTGTTGATCCTCAATGTCTTGCACAAGAAAACAATTAACAAACACTTGTATCTTCTGAATGATGGCCTTCATGGTTCTTCCAGTTTCCGCTTCATAGAGTGGAATTGTCTTGACATTTTTACTGAAAATTTTGACTTTGGAGTTTGTTGATAATTTGCTTCGAATTCCAGATGTTCTTCATTTAAAGAACTGCTACCCTCGCTCTACCAATCCATACCTTCATATCTGCATCAGATATCTATCTACCTCGCTCATCAATCATGCTACTCAAAGAAAAAGCGTAATTATTTTTTTATAGTCATCTTTTCATCAATTCACCTACATATTACATAACCAACGGAAACCAGTGAAGTCACTGGACAGAGATACTATTCATCATCTTCACCATTGAACTTGTCAACAATGTACACTTATACACATACAAGATTAGATTGACACTTCACTAGTTTCATATTGAGCGCTTCAATTTGAAAAACAAATCAACTTGTTTAATTGATTAGTTTTTAATGAATTCAAAGATAGTTGAACTATATAATACTTCAATTTTTTTATTGTTTATTTTAGACTTTATGCTTAGCTCCAGGTCAATATAATCCGTATAATAAGAATGATCAGAAAAAAAGTACACGATTACCTGAATATCATAGTATGTTTAAAACAAAATATCCTCGAACAGTTGTAAGTCCAAAAAAAGTAAGTCAGTAAGTAAGTAAGTAATTTTAATTTTCTTAAATAAATCAATTAAGTACATTAACAAACAATTTTTTCCTTGAGAAATAATTAGATATCTTTGAATTATTTGTTCTGGTTGGTGATTTTTTAGCAAGTTAGTTTTTTTTGGTGGAATGGGGGTCGCCAAACCAATGCTCAACATCCCTCCTTCTTTATCAGCGCTTTGGACCGGCCGTAGCCCCCGGAAGGGTCCTGGTGATTATGAAGAACGTCAACATCTAAAGGGAAGCACTGTGTACAATGGGTAGCTAGGATGAAGCTGGACGACCTGAACTTCGCAGATGACCTGGCTCTTCTATCGCACACGGAACAACAAATGCAAGAGAAGACGATCAGTGTAGCAGCAGCCTCTGCAGCAGCAGGTCTCAACATACATAAAGGAAAGAGCAGAATTCTCCGATACAGCACAACATGCACCAACCAAATCACTCTTGATGGAGATGCCTCGGAGGACATTAACATCTTTACATATCTGGGCAGCATCATCGACAACCAAGGTGGATCCGATGCACATGTGAGCGCGCGGATCGTCAAAGCAAGGGCTGTATTTCTGCAGTTGAAAAATATCTAGAACTCCAAACAACTATCAATCAACACCAAAATCAGAATTTTCAATACAAATGTCAAGACAGTTATACTGTATGGAGCGGAAACATGGAGAACTACCAAAGCCATCATCCAGAAGATACAAGTGTTTATTAACAGTTGTCTACGCAAAATACTGAGAATCTGTCAGTTATACATCTCTAGCAGCAACCTACTGTGGGGGGTGAACAAACCAGATTCCAGTGGAGGAGGAAATCAGGAAGAAGCGGTGGAAGTGGACAGGACAGACGTTGTGAAAAGCACCCAAATGCCTCACAAGACAAGCCCTCACTTGGGAACCCTGAAAGTCATAGGTAAAGAAGAAGACCAAAAAGTATATTACGCTGAAAAATGAAGATAGACATGATAAGAATGAACAAAAGTTGGACAGAAGTGGAAAGAAAAGCCCAGGATAGAGTTGATTGGAGAAAACCGGTCGACGGCCAAAGCTACACTGGGGGTAACAGGAGAAATTAAGCAAGTGAGATATTTCTGATGGTTTATGATCAAAATTAACACGAATGAATCATTAGTGTGTGATTCGAAAGGAAAAATGGCTTCGTCGTTGTATTGATTAAATATTATCCTGAGCAAAAAAGAGAATCCCATCAAATGATTTCAATCTTTCCAATATTACTCACATATATTTTTCATCATAGAGTTATGGAGATTGTTGTTCATTGATCAAACCATGAATCCATCATTGTTAGACTACGATTAGAAACCTGGAAGCACTGGACGGTCGTTTCGTTCTGGTATAGAACTCATCAGTGAATATGGGCATTCACAATTCCTGCTACTCACTGTAATCAAACTCAGGACCTTCAGTCTTTTGACTGACCAATGGAGTTCAGTATTAAACAACAGTCTTCACAAGTGTGTAGTGAAAAATCGTACGATGTGCTCGCTAGTGACTAGTTCATGAGCAAATTCTCAAACTTCTATTAAGAAGGCCTGACCAGTAGACTTCAACCCTGTTCTGGTTTAGGTAGTAACTGACAAGTGGGTGAGGTCACACGAAAGACCAGGACTGATCAGAGATAGAGAATAACACCGTAGAACGCCGCCAGCACGCTCGTAAGACCGAAGGTCCTGGGTTCAAAAGCCGTGATTAGCAGCAGTTATGGATCCACAATCAAAACAACCACCTCAGAGAACAAAACACCACCACAATCATCCACCTGAGCTACAAGTTTTCACCACCATCTCAAAGTTATGGATCCACACTGCTGATGAGTCCCATTCCAGGAAGAAACGGCTATCCAATGCTTTTAGGTTTCTAATGATGGTCTAACGACAATTGATTTGCCCTCATATATATCACCGATAACTAAGTGGTAATTTAAGCAATATTTATCAATAATAAAAGAGATGTGGAGATTTTTGAGTTTCACTGAATTCATGAAGTGATAGATGTTAGACCATCGTTGGAAACCTAGGATTACTAGACGATCGTTTCGTTTTAATTTGTGAGTCCTCAACAGTGTTCTTACAAGACTTCACTTCCGAAATTGAACCTAAGACCTTAGGTACTACGTACAAACTATTACTCCTTTGACCACTGAGTTTTTTATTCAACAGTGCTAATGTTTCATTTCAGTCAATACAAGATATTGCTGGACTATATTCTATTGTCTTTGTTGGATAACTAACTAACTGCCTCACTTCCGACATACTCGCCAAGTGATATTCTTGAATGCTATTACGAGTTCACCTTACTCGGTAAACGGAACGAAAGACATCATACATTGACACGATAGTCTAATGTAATCTGTTTGTCTCCGGCCCGGCTAAGTACATCAAGAAGTCTTGATAAGTCGTGGAAAGTGTATTCTACAAGCACCCAGAAAATACAAGGTTCACAAGCACACAAATCGAGCTTATTTATACATGACAGAAACGTCCTTGAGAGAATCACAAAATAACTTACTAGAACAATCCATCAACTAATAACAGTCAAGGATTTTCCGAGGGGTAAATGTGTGCTGAAGTTCAACTTGCGCGAAAACATAAGAAATTCAAAATTTCTGAATAATATTACAAAATTAGGACCTTTATCAAGTGAGTTCTAGGGATCTAAAGTCCCCAACACTCCATGTGAGATCATAATAACAGATGATCCCTTAACATAACTTATTTTCAACCTTAGTTCAATGATGCTAATTATTTAAAATTCAATTATACTGTTTTGTTTAAATTACTCCACATCTCACTTGATAACATTGAACACTTGTTTGTTTAAATGTAATAATAATATTATATTCTTACGAATTCAAATATCATTTATCATAAATTTCCATTTTAAAATTAAATTTTTCAACGAAACACCTAAACAGGTGTTATGCTATTTTCGTTATCATGAATAATATTTTAAAAAAATTTAATCAAAAACTGATTTCAAGCTTGTCATATATCATTTCAGTAGTATATAATTTATAAATAAAATAAATAAAGTTGTACAGTTTTCAACTAATATTTATCACGAATAGTTAAGACTGTGTGTGTGTGTTTGTGTGTTTCAAAATAAAATTTTAAATAGTATTAGATTTTTGTAGTTAGTTAGATGTTGAAAGAAATTTTGAGTAAATTCTAAGCATATAGTGTTCAGGTTATGTCGAACTAAATTGGAGAATAGTCAGCAAAGACGTTAACCAAGTATTTCTGCCTAACTTTGGGGGCTTTACTAGAGTATTCTACGCTCGTTACTTCCCATGGGGAATTTAACCTGGTATTTCGAAATTACGTAATAGGTTATGAGATTAGCCAAATTTTTGATCAAAATAAATCAATCTGCATTACCTGACTTCAAATTACCTCTATCTATCTATCTATCTATCTATCTATCTATCTATCTATCTATCTATCTATCCATCCATCCATCCATCTATCTATCTATCTATCTATCTATCTATCTATCTATCTATCTATCTATCTATCTATCTATCTATCTATCTGGGTAACTGCGTCACACTCAACAGGGGGGAACTTTACTAGTCACTGCTTCTTACTATAATTCCTAAAATTGCTTCAGGAAGCTAGTCACTAGTGAACATATTTTTATGAAGATTGTTGAGTTCCATTGAAATTATGAATTGATCATTGTAAGACCAATATTAGACGAAGGCTGAAAGCAATCGATAGCAGTTTCGTCCTTCACCTTCAGTCCGCATCCATGAACAGCGCTCAAGGGAATCCAACCCGGACCTTTCGGTCTTGTAAGATCGTTGACTGATCAAAGTCATACATTAACACTGTTGGATGACGGCTGAGTGGTCTGGAAGTGGAGCGATTGTACATACAAGACCAAAGGTCATGGGTTGGATTCCGGAGGTCGTTGATGAACAATCTCATACTAGCGATCATCGATGTCTCCGAAGCATTGCTCGTGTATCATGGGACAACCGTATATGCAATGCTGTCGTTAGGAAACGAGTTTAAGGTAGGGATGACTAATCAATAGATGAAGTAGTGAAATTTCATCAGTCGAGGTGGTTTGGGACATGTGTTACGTATGGCTAACCACCGACTGCCGCGAAGAGCTATGTTTTATGGTGTAGGAGTAGATTGGAAGAAACATGGGGACGGCAAACCAAAACATGGCAGAAATCCATGAGGTCACTGACAAGTGGACTAAGTCACGTTGGTAGATGTAGGCTACTTGGTTAGGGTTCGCAAGACGATAGTCACCGATGGTTAGAGACCTTGATCGAAATGGCTCAAAATCGTTTGCAGTGGCGCAAGTGGATCCACTGTTTGTGTTCTCTCTAATTCTAACCTTCTGAATTCCTCATAATATCTACCTTTCTCCTAAATTTATCTTACTGAGTTATACTTTTCGATTCATATCTTCGCTCCCTAATCTTCTCCATTCCTACTACTACTTCTATTATTGCTATCACTCTTGGATTTGAACTTGGATTTGTGTCTCGGTGTTGAACTGATGTACGTACGTACGAAGTACTGCGTTGTATCTGTCTGCCTGTGTCTAATCTCATACTAGGAAGGAACAACTTTTCAGTGTTGCCGGGATACATTGATCGATTCATGATTTCAATGAAACAGACATAAAACTCCATCATTAAATAATCGTTATCCTATTTCTTTTATTTTTTTGTTGTAAAGGAGAATGTTCCACCGCCAGGTGCTTACAATTTAACACGTAAACAAACATTTGGAATAATTTCTCCATTTGTATCACAAGTTCCTCGATTTAAACGTACAAAATCGGTAAGTGTGTGTGCGTGTTTTCATTTTATGAAATACAAGAAATCATGAATCAATCATCGTTAGACCACCATTATCTAGCGCGAAGCACTGGACAGCCGTTTCATTCCGGTTAGTGATTCATCAGTATTGCGCATCTACACTACTCCTAATACTTGCAAGGTTCAAATCCAGGACCTTCAGTCTTGAGCGCAGACGCTTAACCTCTAGAACATTGAGTTGGCATTCAACGGCATGAATATCTGACTTCGATCAAAACCACGATTTTGTGCAGCCTCATCCATTATCTTCGGCGTACCCTACTTCACACCTGAAACAGGGTTAAACTCCACTGGTCACAACTTCTCCCGAGAACTCCTAGAAACTTCCGCATGGATCTAGCTACTGGTGGTCACCTCAGTAGTCTGGAGGTTCTAGGCTCGAATCCTGCGAGTAGCAGGAGTTGTGAATTCCTACTCCTGATGAATAGTCCCATACCAAAATCAAACAGCCTTCTAGTGCTTCCAGGTATCTAATGGTGGTTTAACACTCATCGATTCATGATTTTAAAAGGTAACTCAATAATCTCCACAATCTTATCATCCTAATTTATCTGTTCAGAGGGAAATTTATGCACGCCTAGTTTCGTAATTCTAATTATCTTTTGTGATTATTTTAAGTCTACTTATCAAAGCTTGACTCATAACTTCTAATGTTGAACGATTTATGGTTATTACCATTACCACCAGTACACCTCTCTTTGTACTAATGTGGTGCGCGCTACTTATAAGTAGTATATGACATGAGTGTCAACGTAATGTCTGGCAGCAGAACATGGGGGAAGATCAAGAAAGGAAGAGTGGGAACACAATGGAATTTGTATGAAACGCATGAATAATGACAATGGATTGATGATGGATTGAAGATTTGCAAATTAACGGTTACGATATGGTTTTCCTATTTTACTGAGTAACTCTGTAATTTGCGATAAATACAATTCGGTTGCTCTTACCTGTGTTCTCCTTCACTACACTAACACCTCGCACTAATATGTGAAGTTACGTAATCTTTATTTTATTGTGATTACTGACTCCGAATAAATTGCATGATTTGTTTAACATTTTCATCTACATATCACTGTATATTAGACTGAAGCTTATGTGTGTCACTCTAAAATTGACAATGGAAAGCTTTAGTATATTTTAATTTACAATTCTATATGTAGATAATACTGTACATACATGACCCCAGCATTTAGGAATTCAATGGACAACCTTAAATCTCTCGTGCAATAAAGCCTAACTACTTGACGATTGATTCAATGTCCAACGGTGTAGTTGTCTAACTTTAATCAATTCATGATCTTTCACAACATTTATTCAAAATTCAATCCCTACATTACCTCCTTCTGCATGGCAATCATGTGATGTTTAGTGACTAGCTTCTAAACAAATTCCAAGGGTTCTAGTGAGAAGCGCCGGCTACTGATTTGTAGCAGATATCGACCGAGGAGCAGTATCATGAACTGATCGAAGTTAGACATTAATACCGTTGGGTGATGACTCATTAATCAAGAGATTAGGCGTTAGCACACAAGATTTAAGGCTGTCGATCCGAATAACTTTTGTGGTGTCATGAGTGCACACTTCTAAGGTGTCCAATACTTAGACACTACTGGATGTCGGTTCACTCGCTCGGACGGTAGGTGTTCACGTGCAAGACCGAAGGTCCTGGGCTCGAATCCTATGAATAGTAGGAGTCGTGTAGATGAGCACTTCTGATGAGCCGTATACCACGACGAACCGGCCATCCAGCTCTTCCACATTTCGACAAATCTTCGTCTTATAATGACTCATTTATCATTTCACTGAAAATTATTTCATTAATCTATGACATTATTAATTTCAGTTTGCTCCAGGTCCTGGTACATATGAAATCAGTGGAGGAATGCAACCTGTGGAACAATTAAGAAAAATGGGTACACATTGTGGGCTATTTTTTCGTGACTATGAGAATCATGGTGTCGACGATGATAATCATGATGATGCTGATGTTAGTAGAAATAAACGAAAATACAAAAAATCATGAATCAGAAAAAACACTTGAAATTTACTTTTTTTTGTCTAGGACAAACATGTTACAGGCATTTTTTTCTAAATCACCCAATAAACTTTATCAATTAATTTATGTTCTGGTTTTTCCTAACAAAAAAACATGCTTTGGACTCCGACATTTGGTGTAAGATTCGCTGGTCAGTGGCCTACTCTGCATAAGGGATATCAGGGGCAAGTAAGTAAGTAAGTAAGTAAGTGAGTAAGTGAGGAAGTAAGTAACCAAGTAAGTAAGTAAGTAAGTAAGTAAGCTAGCAAGCAAGTAAGCAAGTAAGTAAGTGAGTAAGTAATTGAGTAAATAGGTAGGTAAGTAAGTATGTTGTATATAAGTATCTTATGTTTTGCTCTTGTGTATGTTGAGATGTACTGCTGTATAGGCTGTTGTTGTAATACTGATCGTCATCACCTGCATTTGTTGTTGTGTTTGTTGTAGAAGTGCTAGTTGATTTGTGAAATTCAAATCTTCTAACTACATTCATACTGTCCACTACATTCCATGCTTCCTCTGAGATGTACGCATTTTCGTAATCCAGTTGACTATCATCAGAAACCGAAAGGGTGAGAGTAAGTTGTTATCTCATCACTGGGTACGCTTGAATTTATTACGAGTTCACTTTAGTCGATAAACGCGAACGAGACAATTACCAGCGTCTAGATGGGCTACCTTGAATTCCAAGCTGTAAATAGAAGGCTTTGTAAGCGTAGAAAGTATATTCTAAAAACATCCAGCAATCACAATACACAATCAAGCACACAACTCTCGTTTATTTATATACATCATAGAAACGTCCTTGGAACAGTTACGAAAATAGCACACTAAAATACACAGCAGCCAATCACAGCCATGGATTTTCCTGGTGGGAAACTAAATCTCAAGATCAACTGATCAGCCCATGCTCACAAACGTGAAACCCAAAACTAGGGCATTTATTAAACGAGTTCTGGGGATCTAAGATCGCCACCGTAAGTAACCTTGTCTGATACCGGGTCTCACTTGAAACACATCTAAGCAATGCCCCCCCAGGCATAGTTTGCAGTGCACTAAGCCTTACAAACCCTGTATGATGTTGAATATCTTCTCAGACACACCATAGTGTCAAAGAATTCTCCATGCATTTCTCCTGTCCATACTGTCAACTGCTTCCTCGCAGTCAATAAATTTGATATGTATAGTAATGAGTTCCACTCAAATGACTGTTCACGTATAATCCACAATATCATGATTCGGTCCATACACAACTAATCCTTATAGAATCCAATCGACTCAGCACAAAGTTGAACATCTCTGAAAATATCCCTCATTCTTTCGTATTCAACAACCAACAACTCACCACTCACTTCCTTCCATTCAGACTTCAAACCATCACTAACACTCAGCTTCAGACGGAACAAAAAGAAATACTGAAATTCTGTACTTTAAGTTCAATAAAACAATAATATACATATATATATTTATTTGTTATTTATTTCCAATTTGAAAAAAACATAAGAAAAGAAAATGACATTTCACCGAAAAAAAAAGTAATTTGTTTTCTTGTTTTAATAATCATCGTCATCCTCATCATAACGAATTCTTGTCTCTTGGGGCAAAACAAAAGTAAACATTTTACATCATTATTTCGTTTTTTTGATTATTAATAACAAATTTACAGATTGTTCAATTATCAATACATTATTATTATTGTTATTGTTAACTTGATCATTGAATTAGTTGTTAGTTTATTCAACTGTGAAGTTTTTTTTTTTTTATTTTTCATTTAGTAGTTTGTACTTTTCAGTTGTTTTCGGCTGCGTTGTCGTTCAATGTTCAATGATTTCCAAAATGGCTGATTCATTATTCATTGTTTGTTTGCTTTGTTTCAGTTTTGGGTATATTTTTTTCGGTTTCTCACTTGCATGATATTTATATAACTTTATTATGATTATTATTATTTTGATTGTTTTATATATTAAGGAATAAAATAATGGGAAGTAGTTATAATAGAGTTATTTCATGGTAACATTTGATTCAGACAAACAGTATGAGACATAGTAGTCAGTATTTATCATATGGTAAGTGTATAGATGTTCTTTAGTTTGGTGAGTTTCATGAAACACTAATGAACTGATCAACGTTAAAGACTATCCATTATGAATCTGAGAGTACTGGATGCATGCCCAAGGAGGAGGATAGCTCACAGACTCGTTCGAAGCAAAGATCGGTATTGGGTAAGATTGCTTACAGTCACTCTTTCTTTTTCTCCTAGTGATCGACTGGATTGTGAATACGTCGACGTCTGAGAGAAAACAATAAAATACAGTAGACAGTTCTGATACAGCTGTACTTCGCTGTTGATCTAGAAACGTCCCCCCACACAACACTTTAGAGGCTTCTTTGACATTACGGCGTCCCTGAGAAGATAGTCAACATCATACGGAATTCTTATGATGAATCAAACTGCAAAATTGTGCATGTAGGACAGCTAACAGACTCGTTTGGGGTCAAAACCGGTGTCAGGCAAGACTGCTTACTCTCACCATTTCTCATTCTCATGGTCATCGACTGGATTATAAAGAAGTCAGCATCTAGAGGGAAATACGGTATTCAGTGGACAGCTAGGATGCAGATGGACGATCTGGACTTCGCAGATGACCTGGCTCTTCTATCGCACACGCAAAAACAAATGCAAGAGAAGACGACCAAGGTAGCAGCAGTCTCAGCAGCAGTAGGTCTCAACATACATAAAGGAAATAGAAAAAGTCTCCGATGCAACACAACATGCGTCAACCAAATCACTCTTGATGGAGATACGTTGGAGGACGTTAACACCTTTACATATCTGGACAGCATCATTGATGAGTATGGTAGATCTGATGCAGATGTTAGGGGGTAGATCGACAATGCAAGGACTACATTTCTACAGCTAAAGAACAGCTGAAACTGAAAACAACTATTAACCGACAACAAGTTCAGAATTTTCAATACAAATGTCAAAACGGTTCTTCTGTGTGAGGGGGAAACTTAATGAAGCACAAAAGTTATCATCCGGAAAATACAAATGTTTATTAACAGCTGTCTAAGCAAAATACTTAGTATCCATTGGGAGAAAAGAAACCAGATTCCAGGGGAAAAAGAAGTCAGGAATCAGCGCTGAAAGTGCGTAGGACCACGGATTGTGTCACAATACAAGCCCTCGCTTCGAATCCTCAAGATCAAAGGAAAATAAGAAAGTCAAGGAATACATTAAGCTGAGAAATGGAGATAGACATAAGATGAATGAATGGAAATTGGACAGATGTGGAAAGTGAAGCCCAGGACAGAATAAATTTGGGAATACTGGTCGGCAACTTCTGCTCGATTGCTGTTTTGTCCTCTAGTATGGGTATCGTCGGAAATATGTACCGACGACCTCACGAGCCTGAATCGAACGCACCACCTTCGTTTGGTCTTGGGAATGAACGCTTAAATTGTTGACCACTGAGTTGGCATCCAGTGGTTTTAATTTGAAATTCGAATCAGTCCATGATGTTACTCGACCATAATTCGGTGTGCTTGGTCATTAAGCGTCTCAAATTCGGCGTGTTTCAGCTCCACTGAACTTCATTAAAAAAATAACTGGCTTCGTGATAATCATTAAATCTTCAAACCCGTGAGTTATTTTCTCATAATTATTATAGATTTGCGGAGATTACTACTCTCTATTAAAATTATGAATTAATCATTGTTAGACTACCATTAGAAACCTGAAAGCATTGGACAGCAGTTAAATCCTAATACTGGACTCTTCGACAGTGCTCATCCACGACTCTTGATCACGGAACTCGAACCCAGAACTTCCGATCTCTAGCATGACTGATTAACCTCTGTAATCAATACTCAACAGTATTAGTGTCTAATTTTGATCGAACTTATGTTTTTCCACAACCTCACTCAATAGTTTTTAGTGCTTAATCCCTACGGCAGACATGGGTGATCACAACAATATGCTCACTAGTGATAAACGATAGTGATCAAAGTTATACATTAACACTATTGGATGCTGGCTCAATAGTCCAGAGTTTAAGCGTTTGCATGCAAGATTTAAAGTCCTAGGTTGGAATCCCGTGAGTGCAAGGAATCGTGTATGCACAGTACTGATAATTCTCATACCAGGATGAAACGAACATTCACTGTTTCTAGGTTTCTAATGATGATCGAACATTGATTGATTTATGATTTCAAAGTATGACCATGTTTACTATTATGATTATCTATAAATTGGTTCTCGTGGGGTTCCATTTAATTTAATCTTGGTTCACACATAACAATTCCAGGAGTCCGAGTTGATAAATATAAATAAGGGCTACTTGTTATTTCCTTATATCAGAAATAATTTCAATAAGTTCCCACCTCTTTCTGTTTGATTCAACACTTCAATTATGTCTATTAATCGTATAGTAGTCTATTCACCAGCGTAGATCAATAATTTACGACCTATGGCTTTTCCAAAGTGTACACAAATAGAAGTACCAACCAAGACGTTCAGATGGTTGGCAATATGCACTTGACAAGCTGACTTGTTGAAATATATTCTCTCGGAGAATTCCATATATATAAAAATATAAATGGTTACGCATGCACGTAAACACGTTATTTGATATGGTTGAACTATTACGAGTTTACCTTCGTCGGAAAAGGAGAGTGAGGATCGAGGATCCGGCGCAACGACATGCTACTCTAATCCGAGTGTTCCAACTCTCATTGAATAAAAAGAAGAAGACTGATGTGCAGTAAAACCTGTATTCTATACGCATTCAGCAAGTACGAGGTCCAAGTCCAGAAGAGAATCAGTATCCCGGACTAAGGGTTCGGGTCATAAAACTTTAGAGATAATGCAATATTTATACAGTTAGATCGAATAAGAAACAGCATTGAAATGTGTGACATTGACATTTAGGACAACCAATAGGAAACAACATTTGAAGTGACACTGATAGTCAAGATGACCAATGAGAAACAATATTGAAGTGTTTGACGGGAAATCTGCTAATGTTAGCTGTTTGAACCAATCTAAACCGAGTATTTTTAGATCGGCTGTCGGACTGAGCTGAAC